TTTACTCCCTAAGCGCCCGTAGTGGCTGGAGCTGAGCCAATCTGAAGCCAGGAGCCAGGAGCTTTTTCCGGGTGTCCCATACGAGTGCAGAGTCCCAAGGCTGACCTGTTCTCAGCTGCTTTCCCAGGCCACAGGCAGGAGCTGGGTGGGAAGTGGGGCTGCTGGGATTAGAACCGGCGACCAATTGGGATCCCGCCGTGTGCAAGGCAAGGGCTATAGCCACTAGGCTATTGCGCTGGGCCCATTGAGCCATCTTCTACTGCTCTCCCAGGATAAGCAAGGAGCTGGATGGGAAGTGGAAAGGCCAGGATACAGCCTGGTTCCCCTCAGTGATGCCAGTGCTTTAGGGTAGAGGATTATTATGCCTCTGCACCAGTTTCTTAGATATGAAGATTATTTTTATAAAGAGAAATTTTTAACATATTCCCCACGTATTCTGCCTGCTCCTTTGTCTCTGCTGCCGTTGGCGCCAGCTCTGCAGGGGCTGTGGGCTCGCGCCTGTCCATGCTCTGTGCATCACGTTGGATCGTCTGCCCTCTCATGGCTTCAGGTCTACTGCTGCTTCCTTCTGCCACGTCCAAGCATCCTTTGAATTTTTATGTTAGTCCCTGTGTGCTTATTTTTTAAATATGTGTTTATCACTTTTATTTGAAAGGCAGATTTACAGAGAGAGAAGCAAAGATTTTCTCTTCATTAGTTCACTCCCCAAGTGGCTGGAGCTGAGCAAATCCAGTCTTGCAGGTGTCCCTCGTGGGTGCAGGGTCCCAGTGCCTTGGGCCGTCCTCCACTGCTTTCCCAGCCATAGGCGAGGGGCTGGAAGGGAAGTGAAGCAGCTGGGACTTGAACCAGCACCCATAGGAGATGCCATCACCATAGGCAGAGGCTTAGTAAGTCACGCCACTGCTCCAGCGCCGTCAGTCGCTGCATTTTCCAACTGCAGGCTGGTTTCCTGTCATTCCTCCTCTTTAATAGTCTCATTGTGGTGATAGGTCAGTCTCACACTTCCCTTCAGTTCTTTAGTTCCGACTGAACGTACTCATGGTAGCTGACGTGTAGCAGCCTTGCCCAGGAGGCCGGCGTCAGGGCGTCCTTGGAGGGTGTGTCCGCTGACCGCTTGGACTGTCGGCTGTGGCCCTGTTTTCTTGTTTCTTTGCGTGTCTTGCAGCGTCTGAACAGGCCAACTCCGGAAGTAGAGGACCTCCCCCTGGGGCCTGCAGCTGTGGTGGTCGGTCCTATGACTTTCTTAGGCTAATGCTCTGATTCCTTGTCGCATTGGCTCAGCAAAGTCTCAGCTCGGTTGGCAGTGAACCAATAATAAAGTGACGGAAATTTCCTGTCATGCTTCGAGCCAGCAAGGTGGTCTGAGGCCTGGTCAAGTCTGCCCACAGATGTGCCAGTGGTCGCCCGTCGGGCCGCCCCTTGGAGCTGCTGCAGGTACTTCACAAGGATACCTCACCACCTACTTCCTGCACAAGGGCAGAGCCCGCGCCGCGGCTGACCTTGCCACTGTGCACCTGGCCTTGAGAGCCCCAGGAGCCTTGTGAGCTTGTGGTGGCTTCCAGGGACATGGCCGCTCGTCTCCCCTGGTCCTGGTCACTCAGCACCAACTGGGCTGCTGAGGTGGCTCTGTGGCAGGAGGCAGGACGGCTGTTCGCCCAGTGTGCTGCATGGGCGGCCCAGCTGCGGCTCTCCCCTGGGGAGACACTGGGGCACTCCCAGGCCACCCAGCCCCTTGCACGCTGCTGGCCTTGGCAGGCGCCGCAGCCTTTTGCAGCCACCGTGGGTCAGGAACAGGGAAGTGAGGCTAGGGCAGGTGAAAGCCACTGGCCATGATTCAGTTCCCCGGCAGAGACTGCTGTGCTTGGCAAGCTCCCCTCAGGTTGTCAGTGCTGCTGTGCAGGAGCTGACCTCCAGTTTTCTTGACCCTTGGGGGAGTGGAAACGCCCTGTGACGGATGCCCTGCACTCAGCTGGCCACGCCTTCCCTCTCCACAGGCGGCTGTCTTGGCCCAGCAGTGCTTAGGAGCTGCCCGAGGACTCAAGTGCACAGATGAAATGAATGAGCCCTCCATGAGGGGCACACTGCCTTGATGCCCAGGCCTGTGTTGGCAGTGGACCACAGGCAGCAGCTGGCCGCAGCCGCAGAGAGCAGTTGCAGTTACTGTGGGTCGGGTCACATGCGCAGTAGCTTATTTGCTCTGATCCATGCTCAGACTGCAGATGTTTGGCAAGGTAAACCCATAGTGTTACGCTGTTGGATTGCATGTGAGATGGGAGATGAGAATGAAGGACAATGCAAGGTTTTTAATCAGAAGCCATTAAATGGAGTTGGCATTAGTTGAAAACTTATGGGAGGTGCGGGTTCTGCTGGAGAGGTGTTTTGGTTGTTGCATGTCCGAGCTGCTTGGAGGGTCGGCTGTCCCCAGGCAGCTGAGCACCCGGGTTGGAGTGTCCCAGAGCTCTGAATGGGAGATAGGTCCGAGCCATCAGCCCCCCGGCGGCTGAGCTGGGAGTTGCATGGCCTGCCTGCGCCTGGCACTGCCTGGCATGTCCACCTGCCTCCTGGGTTGTGCTTCTCACTTATCTCTATAGAAAGGTCTTTTTGCTGCTTCCATTTCAAGCTTGGAAGGCAGCTCTGCTGGTATGTGATCTGGACGAGCGCTGAGCCGGCCCTGGCGGAGGGCACACTGAGGTGTAGATCCAGCCATGTCTCCCCAGAATTTCCCTGTGGGGTTGCCTCCAGCGTCCGCGGTGCTCCCTGCTCCTCCTGCACCTTCCTCGGCTCTTTCCATCGCACAACCCCGCCTGGCTCCTGCTTGCTCAGACTTCAAGTGCTTCTGCTGCTGGGACAGCAGGTGTAAAACCAGGAGCTGGAGGTCACCAAGTGAGCAAGCGGAGAGGGGACAGACTGCATCTGAGCAATGCCCCTTGCCAGGCCACAGCCAAGGGAAGAGAAGGAAGCGGCAGAGCGGCTGGTGCCGGGCGCTCGGGACTGGCCGGGAGAGGGCGCTGCAGCTGCTGCCACTGCAGGGATGGGCCGCATGAGGGGATGAGGCCAGAGGATGAACGGGCGCAGAATCCGTGATCTGCAGTCTCGGAAAGGCTCCAGTGCTGGCTGCAGCAAGTGGCTCACGATAGGGTCAGCCCGAGGCCAGGATTCCAGGGGGAAACCTGGCGGTTTGTGTTCGATGGGGGCAGAGTGAGGAGCCCCAAGGCCAGGTTGGTCTCAGATGACCCCTGGGACACGGGAGCCTGAGACAGGCTCCAGGGGAGACAGGAGCAAGTGGCCAAGCTGGGGGGCTGAGTGCAGCAACGAGGACGAGTGACCGAAGACAGGCTTTTCTGGGGTACTGGGCCTCCCACGCCCTCCCAGGCAGGCTCCTTGTTCCCGCCTTTTCAGAAACAGCCAAAAGCAGGTGACTTGTTCAAGTCCCATTGCTTGTGAGTTCAGGTGCTAGCAGAACCCTGCTGACTGGTTCATTCTTTTATTTTTATTGGAAAGGCAGATGTACAGAAAGGAGGAGAGACAGAGAAAGATCTTCCGTCCGATTATTTACTCCCCAAGCAGCCGCAACAGCTGGTGCTGTGCCAATCCGAAGCCAGGAGCCAGGAACTTTTTTCCAGGTCTCCGGCGTGGGTGCAGGGTCCCAAGGCCTTGGGCCATCTTTGACTGCTTTCCCAGGCCACAAGCTAGGGGCTGGATGGGAAGTGGAGCTGCCAAGATTAGAACCGGTGCCCATATGGGATCCCGGCACGTTCAAGGTGAGGACCTTAACCACTACACTATCGCACTGGGCTTGACTGGTTCACTCTTAACCTTCACCCAGTGAGACCTGTCTGCCCAAGTGATATGGGAGGGAAGGATCTAGAAGCATCAGCGAGGAGTCCCAAGGACACTGTTCCCTCTCCGTGCCCACTGAGCTGAGGGTGGGATAGACTAGTTTACCTGGTGCTGGGGCAGTTGCTGCATGGTGACCCTGGGCTGGGGAGGCACCCCGCAGCTTCACTGTCACTTCTGGCTAGGAGGGACCTGCCTAGCTTAGCTCAGAACCCCATGGCCAGCGCTCGGGAGCTGAGCTGCTGGTGTCTTTTGCCAGGCTCTGTTTGGTCACTTGTTTCTCACAGGTTATTAGGACCAAAGGCTGTCAGAAGGTGGGGCATGGGTGGGTACAAGGGCCTCTCGAGGCTGTGTGGAGTTTGAACTAACCCTTCTCAGGCTGCTTCCTGTGACCACGAAGCACTCAGTGACAGAAGCGGCTTTGCTCCGGACTCCTGGGGCAGTGTGTAAGTGCTGTAGGTTCCAGGGGCAGTGTGGCCAGGCTTGCCCTGACCTGCAGCAGACATGCCGGGCATGCTGCTCCCGTGGTTGGCTGGCCCCGCGAGGAGCCTGGCTTGCCTTCCACCCTGACAGCCCTTGGGGAGGAATCCGTGCTTGGGACGGGCAGGTAAGGATGCACTGTGGGGCCTGCTCCGGCCGACTCCTGGAAGGCGAGCGCCGAGTGCCCAGGTGGCCTGTCTGGGTGTGGGAGGAAGGTACTTTGGGGAGGGGAGCCTTGTTTGGCCAAGAGCTGTCTGGATGTTCACGCCATTCTTGGGCCTGTACAGAATCACCAACTTGGCAATGAGACTGCCGTGGGGCTACCAGGCTGAGTGCCTGCCACCACCATGGCAGGGCCAACCATAAGCCTAAAGCCCCCTGCCCCAAACTGCAGGGCAGGTCTGTCGGTGTCGAGCTCGCTCTCTGCCCCGGCAGATGTTGGGAGAGTGAAGCCCCAGGGCACAGTCAGCGAGGCGCCGCGGGGGGCCTGGCTGCTCTTCAGGGCTGCTGTGGAAATCGTGCAGGGAGATGCTGTGCTGTTACGTGGAAGTCAAAGCGGCACAGCAGGGAGAAGCACCTTCTTCCAGGAGCTGTCGGGGGCTGCAGTAGTCTGAGGGGAGGGGGCAGTTAACCAGCTTTTATGATTTCACAGCTTCTCAAACATCCACAATCCTAGACACAAGCACCTTTTACGCCCTGTGTTTTATTGCTGACCCAGCTCTTTGGCAGTTTCCGTGCCGAGGGATTTTAATGAACGTAAGACCCCAGGGAGTTCACGCTGCACTTGACGATCTCTGAGCACTGATCAATGTTCTTCTTGATCCTGTAGAATTTCTCCACATATTCAGAACGTCCTAGAAGCTCCACAAAGTCTTCATCATGAGTGATAACCAGAAGCTGGAAGTTTCGCTGCTGTGAACGACTTTTTATTATCCTGAAAAAAAGGTGTATTTAGAATATTTTATTATCTAAGAACATAACCCTTTCTTTTGCACAGGCCACTGCAAACCCTGCCAGTACACGTGTCTGTGTGTGAGACAGACAACCTGGTTTTTCCTGGCCACCCTGCAGGAAGTGGGCGGGGGCGGTGCCTGCGCCCGACTGTGCACAGCTGAGAGGTTCTCATTCCGTTTCCCTCGACAGCTGCGCTGCGCAGCCTTAGCTGACCAGTCCCTCAGCAGGGATTTTCCTGACCTGTTACTAGTTCTCTGTAGAAGAAAACTCTTCCAATAACGAAGATAGTCCAGGTCGGGGGAATACCGCTGCCGTCCTCTGAGCTGGCATCACTGCTGTGACACCTAGGGGCCCCAAGTGGGTGGAGGGGGTGCTTTTCTGCTCAGCAGCTAGCTGCTAGGGGAACCCGAAAGACTCTTCACTCCTTGTTGCCATCTGGCCTGGGGCTGGCTGCACGGAAGCCACCCCGGGCTCGGCGGCTCACCCTGCTGGAGAGAGGTGGCCGGGGGCTGGGAGACAGGAACCACTGCCCTGTGCATTCTGGGAGCCAGGAGCTGCCACATGGCTCCTCATCCTAGGGAAAGGCCTTTCTTGTGCCAGTCCAGGCAAGAAACACAGTGCCCAGCAGCAGGGAGTGTTCAAAGCCACCTGCTTCAACCTGCTGCAGAGTGGGAGTTCTGTCCTCCCAGCTTTCACATATGAACAGGGGGCGAAACAGCCCCCCCCCCCCCCCCACGGATGTCTCACTACTGTCTTCATGGCCATGTGGTTCCACTGTTGGTTTTTCAGGTAAACCAGGGCCAGGTGCCTCTAGCCATGACTTTGACAGCAAGCAGCTGGCGAGGCATGGGACCTATCTGTGGTTGCTGGCCAGCATCTCATTCCTTTACTGTCTCAAGGTGAAGCCCAGGGCCCAGCCCCTCCACCCTCCGGGGCAGGACACCTACTCCACCAGTGCATGTGCGAGCGACTCGATGTTCTCTCGGTCCAGATTTGTCGTGGGCTCATCCAAAGCAAGAATGCCGCAGTTAAGGCAGAAGGTTTCAGCCAGGGCCAGGCGAATGATGAGTGAGGCTAAGACCTGGAAAAAACACGTGAGCTGGATACCCATGTCACCTCCCCCCACACACAGGCAACATGCGGACCAGAGGGGTGGAGAGATGCCGGGGACACTGATGGTTGGGGGCACCCTATCTTGTGGCCCCTCTAGAGAGGTGCCCCGCCTAGGCCTCAACGGCATGCTTCAGTGCACTGGCAGACAAGGTGAGAACTCAGCATAGCGGGTCCTCGGTTGGAGTGGCCGGCAGTGCACTCTGCTGCCTGCTCAGCTGCAGCTAACCGAGGGACAGGGCAGGAGAGGCACTTTCTAGGGCCAACGTCTGCAGACAGAGCTCCAGGCACGGAGGAAGTCCTGGGAGGCCCAGGCCGCACATGATTTGGAGAGCATAGGCCTTCTCCCTGCTGCATGGAGCATGGGAGAGCCCCCTTTCCAGAATGAAAGGGCCTCAGTGCCAAGATCCTTGCTAAGTCTGTGGGCCCCGCTGGCCTCTAGGGTGCAGAATGGGGGCTCCCCTGTCCCCCGACCCCAATGAGGTGATCCTTGCTTATTTCCTTCCCTTAAGCTAGCTACAGAAGCCTACTTTTGCTCAGAAAGTACTTGGAATTCCAAGATACCATGCTAAACTCTGTTCTCATTACTGCCAAAGCAAGCAGCGGTACTGATTACAGGTCACAAATTGGTCATTTTTACAGGTGTGGATTTCCATAGTAATCTGCAGATGCCTTCAAGTTTGTCTGGGCTGACCATATACGCAGAAACTGGAAACAGACCACGCAGATAATGCAGGTCCCCTGTCCTAGAGGTAACGGTGCTTAGTGCCGCAGGGTGCCAGCCAGTGTGGTCAGCAGGACCATGCATGCTCTCCGGGGTACGGGGACCACTGCCTTGGCCCTGAGATGTTCGTCACCCCGGGCCGAGCAGCTGGCACACTGTTCTCCAGGCAAGGCAGCTCCCAGGTTACCTGCCTTCTGCCCAGCACTGCATCGTCCACGCATGTCCAAGGCTGTGTCCCCCTTCAGCATCACCACACGGTAATTGTAATTCCGCCTTTTATCCGAAGCTGAGACGTTTTCATCAGCATCAGAGCGAATTTCTATATATTCAATATCTGACACAGAGAGAAGATTTCAGAAGAACTGACAGGCTGGGATTTCTTCATTTAGGGGTGCCCATTTCCATGCTTGGGAAGTGACCAGGATGCCCCCAGCAAGCCTCCCTAGGGCTGTCTTAGCTCCCCGGGCAGGGCCTCCTCTCACTGTGCGGGGGCACATCCCTTTCTGCACTACGACACAATCTAGCTCAGTCTCAGAAAATGCCAAGGATGCTCAGGGGGTGGAGGGAAGGAAGTCTGGCTGAGGAGAGGTCCCAGGGGAAGTTTTAAGAAAGGGCGTTTGGGGTGTGCATGGTGGTGTATCATTAAGGCTCAGCCGGGGTGCTGGCATCTCCTATGTGCCCCAGTTCTAGCCGCACCTGTTCCACTTCCCATCTAGCTACCTGGGAAAGAATGGAAGCTGGCCCCTGCACCCACACGGAGACCCGCAGGAAGCTCCTGGCTGCAGCTGGGCCCAATGCTGGCTTTTGTGGCCAGGTGGAGAGTAAAGCAACAAATAGAAGAAATCTCTTCCTTGGGGCAGGCCCGGCACCGTGGCCTAGCGGCTAAAGTCCTTGCCTTGAACGTGCCGGGATCCCATATGGGCGCCGGTTCTAATCCCGGCTGCTGCACTTCCCATCCAGCTCCTTGCTTGTGTCCTGGGAAAGCAGTCGAGAACGGCCCAAAGCTTTGGGATCCTGCATCTGTGTGGGAGGCCTGGAAGAAGTTCCTGGCTCCAGATTGGTGCGCTCCAGATTGGTGCAGCACCAGCTGCTGCACCACTTGGGGAGTGAACCATTGGATGGAGGATCTGTCTGTCTCTCCCTCCTCTCTGTATATCTGCCTTTCTAATAAAAGTCTTAAAAAAACAGCATTGGAGCTAGACCTGTTCATTACCTTGTCCGCGGTAGGTGCTTCGCCAAAGATCACGAATAATCTTATTGATCTCCTCCATTTTCATACTGTGAAATTTCATTATTGCTCTAGAAAAGGAAGCCATTTATACTTTAATGGAAAAATAACATGAAGTAGTACTTACTAGAATACATATTGCTCTATGTAACAGAGCAACTTTCACAGAATTTTCAACTCTCAAAGTTGAGCATATAAAGAACAAGAACCGGGCCCGGCCCGGTGGCGCAAGTGGTTAAGGTCCTCACCTAGCACGCCCGGGATCCCATATGGGCGCCGGTTCTAATCCCGGCAGCCCCGCTTCCCTTCCAGCTCCCTGCCTGTGGCCTGGGAAAGCAGTCGAGGACGGCCCAAAGCTTTGGGACCCTGCACCCGCGTGGGAGACCCAGAAGAGGCTCCTGGCTTCGGATCGGCATAGTATCGGCCCGTTGCGCTCACTTGGGGAGTGAATCATCGGATGGAAGATCTTCCTCTCTGTCTCTCCTCTCTGTATATCTGCCTTCCCAATAAAAACATAAAATCTTAAAAAAAAAAAAAAACAAGAACCAAAAAAATTTAAGCTGTACCTATTATTGGAGATCCCTGGATACTTTAGTTCTCGAGGGTCCCAGGCCTTCCCTATCAAATTATTAAAAACAATGGGAACTGGGGCCCAGCCTAATAGCACAGCGGCTAACGTCCCCACCTTGAATATGCCAGGATCCCATATGGGCGCCGGTTCTAATCCCAGCAGCTCCACTTCCCATCCAGCCCCCTGCTTGTGGCCTGGGAAAGCAGTCGAGAACAGTCCAAGTGCCTGTGTGGGAGACCTGGAGGCTCCTGGTGCTCTGGCGCAGCACCGGCCGTCGGGCTCACTTGGGGAGTGAATCATCAGATGGAAGATCTTCCTCTCTGTCTCTCCTCCTCTCTGTATATCTGACTTTGTAATAAAAAAATAAAATCTTTAAAAAATACCCCAATGGGAACTTCATAAAACAACTAATCAGTAGATGAGTGTAGTGGATTAAAGGGAAGGGCGTGCATCAGCCAGGGGAAGCAGGGATTTCTGGAAATTACTACCTTGTTATTCCTCTTGTTACCATGCAGGTCCTGTATTTATTCCAGAGTGCTGGTTCAGGGGGTGACTCTGGGCTGAGGTCAGGCTGAACCTCACCGTTTTCTTCTGCCTTCCTAACATTCACAATCCTACATCTAAACATGTGTAATAACTTCTGTTTGGTTTTTAAGGTAGTTTCTAAACACTAAAAAGCAGAAAAGAAATGTTTGTAAAAACAAAAGTAGTCTGTCACCTTTCTTCAAAATGCACTTACTTGGGTTCTCTGGAACCAGGCCTGTGAGCTAGTGGCTGGGGCAGCTGTGATAAGAACGCACCCCCCCCTTCCCCACCAGAGGATGTGAGGTGGACGCACGCATTTCCATCGCAGGCCTCTTATCTGATTCATACAAAAAAAGAAACTGAATGTAATGCTACAACTGCCTCTGCAGAATCATTTCATGATCTTCTGGTTCACCAGCAAAAGAGAAATGACTCAACATAAATATATTTTCAGTATCAGATGAAGGACTGCGAAGTAATAAAGACATTAAAAAAAATGGTCTGCTGCTTGATGAGAATTCAACAAGTCTCCATTTTCTACTAGCTCCACGCATCTCAGTCTAACACTTCATGCCTTCCTCCCCGCCCCCGCAAACATTTCTGTCTGAAGAAAAACCACACGCTCACACTGAGGAGTGCACTCTGTAAAGCCTGCCTTTCCATAGCGCATGCACCTTAATCCAGATTTTGGGGTGTGGCAACATCTACTTCTTTGAAATGCAGAGGGGGAGACAGACACACATCTTCCACCCACTGGTCACTCCCAGTAGTCAGAACTGCCGGAGTCGGGTCAGGGGGAATCCAGGCGGCCTGGAACTCCATTCAGCTGGAGTGACAGAAGTTCAAATGCCTGAGCCCTATCTATTTTTCCAGACACATCAGAACCAGCATGAGGAAAGTAGAGCAGCTGGGCCTTGAACCATTAACCCATAGGAGATGCCAGCTTACCCTGTGGTGGCACAGTGTCAGCCCCAAGTTATATTTTTTCAAAGTCGTATCAGAGATCAGGAACAGGGTCCAGGGCTGAGGCAGGTTAAGCTGCTGCTAGTGGCATCCCAGGCCAGGTACTTGTGCAAGTCCTGGATGCTTTACTTCCAACTTAGCTCCCTGCTCATGCACCCAGAAAGAGATGGGCCCCTCCACCCACGTGGGACACCCAGACAAAGCTCCAAGCTCCTGGACTGAACTGGCTTAGTCCCATTACGTTGCAGCCTTTGGGGAATGACCTAGAGGATGGATAATTGCTCTCATTCTCCTTTGCAACGCTTTCAAATAGATAAAATACTGCCACCGTGGTTGGCGGGCTCCAGGGGGCGGGGGGCAGAGGTGCCTGAGACGTGCACAGAGCGGCTGCCACACGGACCTCTGATGACGGCTGGACTGCCAGCCCCCGCCAGGAACTCACAACAGTCCCAGGGGAAGGGCGGTCACAGACAGTGGCTGCCAATGAGTGCTTACCTGGTGTAAGACACAATATGCTAACTAGTCTACGTGATCTCAGTCCTGTCAATGGGAGCTAAGATGTTATCTCCAGTTACCATTAACAAAAGTGAGATCTGATGAAACTGGTAACTTACTCAGAGACAAGTGGCTAAGCTATTGTCAGTTCTTGAAATGATAGTTCAACTAAACAAGCAATCAAAATCCCCTGTTTTTAAAGTCACCAGAAACGGCAACTCTTCAAGATATACTACTTTTCCAAGTGTATCAAGTGTTCTATGGCACAGAAAAACAGAACTAAAGAGGGGAAAGTACAGGCCTGTTTTGCTTATGAATATACACATTCTAAATAAAAACAAATGTCATAGTAAGGATATCAAAAAATACATAACAAAATGTTTATCCCAATAAAAATTATGCAACAGAGAAAATCAGTAACTTTTCCTTCAAAACATTTATGCAATAAATTCTCAAAAAAAGCAAAAACAAATGTTTGATAATTTTTAGCAGTTCTGAAAACAAAAACAAAACCAAAAACACATAACACCTCTTCAGTTAGTGAAAGCAGAAGGAAGTGTCCTTAATGTGCCTGACTCTTACATACCCGCAGCAGCAGGCAGCACCTACGGGGCACAGGCCACACAGGTGCCGCCTCTGCCAGCTGTTCTACAAGCCCGCAGGGCTGCAGGTGATGAAGCTCCTGCTGAGAAAAAGTAACGGTGGTCAAATTACACACACAAAAGCAGTGTCATTTTCTAGTAGCAAATTCCAATGGGAAGCACAATAGAAAAAATGATTCTACTCAACAGAAACTTCAGATTATAAAAACTATACAGTTATAACATTTGATATATAACTGTAGCAGTTTAGGGCATGAATAAATTAAAAACTTAGTGAACACAGAATAACACAGAACTATGTACCTTCCTGTTACACCTGAAACCAAATGAAAAGATTTCCAATGGGTTGGAAAGGAGACAATAATTAACTGTCAGTATTCTTCATCAAATTCCAAATGAATGAAGAGGGTTCAAAATGAAACATAAGGAAATTTTCATTTTAGAGCTAAGGAATAGAAAAAGAGAAACTATAAATAAAAACACCAAAGACTGACAAAATATGAAAATGACACCAAAAGGACAAATGACACACTGGGAGTGGGTAGTTGTAATATGCTTGAAAAGGATTATTATCTAGAATCTGTAAGATATTAGCACATATCACCAAGGCAAGTTAGTAGAAAAAGTGGCAGTCAGAAATGAACAGGCAATTCTAAGAAACACAGCCAACAGATGCACCAATTCATCAGCATTACAGAGGGGGCAGTCTTTGCACAACACAGTGCAAAAACGTGTATTTCTATATACTACTACTGGTGCAAACCAACTTTCTATTTTTGTTTTAAATATTTATCTGAAAGGCAGCATTACACAGAGAAAGAATACGTAAGCATACATTTGTATCCCCAATGGCGTCAAAGGTAAAAGCCAGGAGCTTCATCCAGGGACCCAGGCACTCGGACCAACTATGCTGCTTTCCCAGGTGCACCAGCAGGGAGCTGGATTAGAACTGGAGCAGCCAGCACATGAACCAGCTCACATATGGGATGTGGTGCTGTAGACAGTTTTACCCGATACACCACAGCATCAGCTGTGGACGGCACTATGGCATTAATCACTTAAAAACACACATCCCCCTCTGACCCAGGAGCTCTTCATGGTGCATGTGCACAAGGGTGCAGACTCACACTGCAGCCTAAGCTTATGAGCAAACCTACTGTATCAGCCATGGCTACTAAAGTGGGAAAACTCGTGTCACAGATTATGCAGGTATTGATAATAATATAGAAAGGCTAACATGTTTGAACACCAAAGTTTCAGCACGTGTTAAGGGGAAAAGAAAAAGAAAAATCCCTATGAGGTGGTACCATTCACATGAAACCAGAGCGCTCTGTGTGCACTGCATGTAGAGGCATTTGGCAGGATGGGAAAACATGCCACTGATGGAGTACCAAGTGCACAGTACATGCTGGGTGCTGCCATGGAATGAACTGGAGCCACGTGCAGTGAGCTGAACTATCATGAAACATGGGGAAGCATGAATTATGTGTAATACAAGGTTGAGTGAGCTAAATGGTACAAATTATTATGGAGTATAATAGAAGGAAAAATACATCTGGGAAGAACTTCATCAATGTGACACTGTAAGGAGAAAATACGAAAATATGTCTTAAGGGAACAAAACTCTTCAATTCAGTTAGAACAAGAGTGAGATGAAATGAGGGAAAATAAAGATGGACACTTCTTCTAAAATTAGAAGGGCAGAGGGCCAACAGAGGGACCACCTTTAGAAAGGTCTCCTGCCAGCACGAACAGGAGGCATGGTGCCAACTGACAGGAGTCCTGGGAGCAGGCAGGGAAGCAGGAGCTGCCTGTGGACAAAGAGCAGCATAGGTGTCACCCTGGCAGCACCTGGACTCCTCAGGGATTGAACCTGGGACAGCAGCTGGCACGCCACTGCCTCCACTCCCTTCTCCAGCTTCCTTCATGCACACACTGAGTGCATAACACTCTAGCATGCATTGAGTTGCCGATTCCCGGCTCTGGCCTGGGTTAGCTTTGGCTGTTGCAGACATGCTGGGAGTGAACCTATAGTCTGCTGGGCTGCCTTTCAAATAAAACAGTAGTAGTAGAAGCAATAATAAATAATGCAGGTGCAGGTCCTTCCCTGGGCGGAACCTGGTGGGGGCAAACAGAGCCTGGCTACAGCATCAGCCCACAACCTGCCTGCAAAGAGCGGGCTGTTACACGCACAGAGCAGTGCAGGGAAGCTTTGCTTTCTTTGTAAAAACTGCTTCTGCTCGTAAAAGAACCTCAAAAATTTAAGAAAATTGTGGCCTACAAATTAGTTTATATTTAACTACTCAGAGTCTGAAAGATTCCCTTAAGAATTTCAGTAACAAGGGCAGCCATTTGATCTGGCAGCTGAGATGCCAGCTTGGACACCCGTATCCCTTAGCGGGATCTGGGCTGAAGTCTGGTTCTGCTCCCAATCCCAGTTTCCTACTGACACACAGCGCCCTGGGTCACAGGAAACGACGGATCATACATCTGCATCCTTACTACTCTGTGAGAATCTGAGTTCTCAGTTCCTGTGCTTGGCCAGGCCAGTCCTAGCCACGCTGCAGCCAGGGAGTGAACCAACATAATAGAAGATCTCTTTCTCTCTCAAATAAACAAAATCTAAAAAAATTGTGGTAACATTCTATTTTATTCAAGAAGACAAATTATGACTTCCATGGTTAACTCTGGTGTGCACCACGGAAGACTATGGACATGAGTCTCACCGACGACAAGGGTCTAACACATTTCCTGACGAAAAAGACCTGCAGGTCCAGAAAGACAAAGACTGGTACCACTGAAACCATCTGCATGGCACTGTAACAGTGCAGATCGTTAGACAGCCGCTCAAAGATTTATTTAGGGGTCCAAATACTTAAGGCCATCCTCTGCTGCTTTTCCAGGGAGCCTAATCAGAAGTGAAACAGCTGGGACTTGAAGTAGCACCCATATTGGATGCCAGCAGTGTGGGTGGCTCCATAAAATGAATCTTTAAAAGATTAAAATAAAGAAAACCTGTGAACCTTTGTGGTACCCTTTACCTAGCACCCCCAGCTTCTAACATGATGTCACAACAGAGGCAACACCACAGGTCTCCCCATAATAACTTGGGCTCCTGCTGCCACTCTGAGAGCCACTTTTCTAGCCCACCTTGGGACTTGGCCTCTCCCACGGGAACTGCATACCTGCAACGCAGCCATCAGCATGTATCTGAGGGGCTGGGAAAATACCACTCATACAGATCAAACCCTCCCTTTCTAAAAGACTTCAACTGCTGCTGCTTTTCTTACCTAAACCAACTGTGCCCTCAAGCTACTGAGGAAGATGAGCTACCATCACATGAAAATCTGTACTTAAAAGTGCTCAAGGGCCCAGTGGCGTGGCCTAGCGGCTAAAGTCCTCGTCTTGAACACGCCAGGATCCCATATGGACGCCACTTATATGCTCCACTTCCCATCCAGCTCCTTGCTTGTGGCCTGGGAAAGCAGTAGAGGACGGCCCAAAGCTTTGGGACCCTGCACCCATGTGGGAGACCTGGAAGAGGTTCCTGGATCCCGGCTTCGGATCGGCATAGCATCGGCCGTTGCACTCACTTGGGGAGTGAATCATTGGACAGAAGATCTTTCACTCTGTCTCTCCTTCTCTCTGTATATCTGACTTTCCAATAAATAAATAAATCTTTTAAAAAAGTGCTCACTAAACGATGACTCTTCCCCAAACCCCAACTATTTCACTGTATAAAACACTAGGTGGAATGGCCAAATAGCTATATGTAATTTTTACCTAATAAAGATTAGCTCATAAAAATGATTAATGAAAACTAAACATATTCGGAAAAATATTTACCCAATATTGGACAAGCATTCTCATGCTCCTCCTATGAGAAACGTACAGTAGTACTGAATAATGACAGGTACGTTGTTGAAAACAGACTGTGACCACCGTGAGTGCCCATACCACCATCACGACATTGGGTACCCTTCCTCTTGCCCTGGCACCTAGCACCGTGGAGACCTGGGGAAGAAGCCCTCTTGCACAGTGGAAATGTTGGGCCTAGCAGAAGCAACTCCTGAAGGAGCTGAGTGCACCAGAGGACAAGAGAGCTTATCACAGGCAGGAATACCTGATAACCCGGGACCACCAAGCAGCAGACGGAGTCCCAGTGCTCTCTCCTTCCTGCCCCCCTCAGGCCACAAACAACAGGACAAAGTTTCACGCCCTCAATGCTGAAGTCAAGCAGATACTCCCATCTAGAAATGTTTCCAACGTGAAGTCTGTGCAGAAGATCAACACCTGCTATTAAATGAATTTTCCCTAGCCAGACTCTCAGACCACAACTTTTAAAATTCAAGCAATGGCTAACCACTGTAGCAACAGCAACAGAAAACACTTACTCTCACACCTCCTGGTTCTAACGTGCCCTCTGGACATTGCAGGAACCCTGGCTGTGGAGCTAAGCTGTACTCTCGGGCAGGAGACCAACAGTGAGCCCCCAACACAGTGCTTAGCCAAAACTCCCTGAATGTAGAGTCTGGAGCCCAGAATGGGCCCGAAAGGTAGCTGGCTGCCTCAGATGCAAAACTGCAAGAGCTATGTATTTCCACCTAATCACACTAAGCTCGACCCACTGGGCGAGTTTGATGTCTGGGAAAAAATGAGAGAACAGTGGGCACAGGGTAACACATTAGTAACACACTGTGACATCATTCACATCGATCCTGCTAGTTTGGAGTAACAACACTAGGTGATGCATGCTTTTCCCTTCTAACATGCCTCTGACCACTGCCGAAGCTTATACCTAGTGATGTTTTTAGATTACTAATAATAGATGGTAATCAGCTTTTCTTGAAAACGCACTGCTAATTTCCTGTGTTGCCTTAAATAGCAAAATGCAACAATCACACTAACTGCATACTTTATTCTAAGAGGCGAAACACTGAGGGAAATTTCTGGACCTTTTGGTGAGAAGACAAATTTAGGGTTCACATAACGCCACTGCTTGCAAGCACAAGCCCACAATGATGCAACTTTGGGGGGAATTTTGCTCCACTTTCCTTCTCATTTGTAAGAGTCCATCCAATTACCAGATCAGAGAATTCCGTAAACAGCCTCGCTGTGTCTGCAAGCCCAGCATCAGTGGCTGGAAAGCACCTTGTCCCTCCACAGCCTCTTTTGCCCGTGCCTGCCCCCTCTACAAGTGTCTGTCCTCACCATGCTCAGTCTGACGCCATGATTGGGACACTTTCCCCACTGAAATGTCCTTCCTTGTTAAAGACCCAAGTCAACAGACTGTGGAAAACCTACCCAGGCCTTCCCACCAGTTAGTCAGCAGCTTGGAGGGACAGAGTGAGATACTGCCATCATCCCAAAGTCTGACACCAGAGGAACGGAGCAGGAACAGGTGGTGGGGTAGGGTGGATTGAGCCACTGTTTGTAACACTGGCACCCCATAATCAGAGTGTTGATTCTGGCTGCTCTGCTTTCCCACCCACCGTCCTGCTAAGATGGCTCAAGTGGGGAGGTCCCTGCACCCAAGGCTGAGAGCCCAGGCTGGAGCTCCGGCTTTGGCCTGGCCAAGACTTGGCTGTTGTGGCCATTGCAGGAGTTAGCCAGTGGATGGATGATCTCTCTTGCTCTCTCAGAGAGCCAATCTGAAGCCAGGAGCTTTTTCTGAGTCTCCTACATGGGTGTAAGGTCCCAAAGTCAATCTATAAACAGAGAGCTAGATGGGAGGTAGAGCAGTCAGGACACAAACCGGCACCTGTATGGGATGCTGGCATTTGCAGTGGAGAATTAACCAGTTGACCCCTCCATAGTTTTCAAATAAATACATCACTTTTAAAAGTCACAGAAAAGATAAAGAATATCTATTAATCAGTGAGATCAATAATATACCCAAGAATGGGCAAAAGATAAGCATTTCACAAGACAGTGTCATCACTCACACAAGTGACAATACCAATAGAATGAGGGACTGCAAGGCCACCAGTGGGCCACACACGAGGACATCCACAAAACCAGTGCCAGCCGGGGCAGCAAAGAAAGCGCCTGCCTACTGCTAGTGATGCAGATTAGTGAAGCCATTTTGGAAAACAATTTAACGTTGCTTTAGAAAACTGCATGTACCCTGAACCTATTCCTGATTTGTAACTATTATGATGCCACTGGTCCAGAAGATCCAGGGACAGTGTTCCCGGGAGTGAGATTTACATTAGTGAAGGCCCGGGGTAAACGCCAGGGTGTAACTACAGCAGGAGATACAGTGCCACAGAACTCTGCAGTCAGGATGAATGAACGACAGCTGTAGGCACCACAGACAGATAAAAGAGCAAACCTGAGATGACTCCAAATACGACACCAATTTTAAAAGCCCACCAAGAAAAACTACACACATAACACCATTTTTTAAGAAAGCAAATATCCTTGGCATGGCCCCAGGGGGTAGGGGTGATGGGGGGATAATGTGGAGCTCATGGGGGGATGAGGGAAGGGAGGCACACCCAGCAGACGCCAGTGCATGGAATAGTAGAGTTCTGGGACTGCTGAGAGCAGCAGCATGACTTGATTTCAAGATTTGTTTTATAAATATTGTTTTGCTTTATAAATTATCTTCATAACTTAAGCATATGGGTCTGTAGATATATTCTATAGTATAAATGAAATATTCTATTTAATCAGAAAAGTTGGAAAATACGACTGAAACATGCTAGATGATATTCATCGCATTGGAAGCACATGGCAATCCACTACTTACTGGTCCAGAGTCTTATAATAAATGTCCAGATCCTTGTTCACAAGCTCCGTAGTTCTCATAACAATCATCATCTCTCTGTGCTTTTCCTCTGCATCTCGAAATTGAGGTTCTCGAAGTTCTTTCTTAAAGTGAATGATTTCTTCCTCATAACCCTTCTGCCGCCCTATTGCCAGACTGTGATTTCTTTTTATGTTTTCTATTTTCTCCTCCAACTTCTGGTGCTCACTGTTAAGGGGAAAAATGACAAACGAGGACCTCTTTTTAGCTTTTAACAACCTGAAGTGACAAAGTTATAGATCTCTTAAGATGGGTGTCATTTTCTTGAGTACTCGACAGATGGTAAAGCTCTGTCCTTGGCTTTTCACTGAAGGCTGCAGGAGTCAATTCCCTTCCTTCCCAATGTACACCTCCGTGTTTCTCCACAGCTCATTTTAATACGTCAAACAACTCTAAATTCAAGCAGACAAGTCTACAAGTAAGGCTGAGTGAGTAAGAAATCTGAATTAATTGAGCTGGTTCAAAATCTATGTATTTGGCTTCTTTTTACTGAGAGGCAAAGGGCCAGGGAAAGCTCTGATGAGCCCAGGTGACTCCTGAAATGCCATCAGAGCTGGCACTGGGCCGAGAATCCCTCCTGGCGGCAGGGATCCAATGTGAACCCTGCTGCCTCTCAGGGTACACACCAGCAGGAAGCTGGGACTCAAATCAGGACACTCTGATATGAGATGGGGGCACCCAAACCAGCATCTTAACTGGCCAAATGCCTGCCTCTGATCCAACCTTCTAGGCCACTGTCCTAAGAATGCGTAAGGCACACAGGGCAGGAGCAGCATCTCCCCTACAGCTTCAGGAAGGTAGGAACTGATGTCAATAAATGAGGGAAGAATCAGTCTGTTCGTTAAAAAAATTCATTCTGGTGTGTGCAAAACTACGATTGGGATCATCTCGACTGTCTCCACTGACCAAGCCCTGTGGGAATCCACCGCACTCAGGCAGGCCCACAGCCGCCTAGTCTCTATGCTTGGTACCACTGCTCTTTGCAACTGGCTAGAAGGCTGAACAGCCACTACTGCCCACTGCCACGGGGTGAGGTTACTTCCATATCACTCTGTAATTCAATTCTTAAAGCTGTGGATCATATTTACATAAAAACACTGCTTTATGGTAATTCTTAAGGTACACTAAGCTGAATCTTATATTCTTTTGTGAAAGAAATATTTCCTCACATTACAATAAAAAAGATCTTGAATTAAAGATCACTGTCAAAAGCTTACTTCTTCATTTGTAAAACCTGCATTTGTCCCATTTCCTTCAGATGTTGCTTTCTTTCTTCTTCAACTTCTTTTAGTTCCTCGTTTCTTTTTCTTAAAGTAAGATTGTCCTGTAGCCAACGTTCCTGTATCTAAATATAATCATCAAGTCACCGTTAATAAAAATCAACAAGTTACCAGGCTGAGACCAAGCAACTGTGGCCAGTGCCAACCCTGCCCTGCTCAGAACCACGTTCAGCAGAGAAGTCAGTGTGAAGCTGAGGGGCACTCCTGCTCATCCACGTACTGTGCTCCTTCCTGTGACTGGGGACAGACTTCTCCAGCTTCACAACAGGGAAATCGTTTCTTTTACATTTTTTTAAAAATTTCTTTTTATTTGCATGAAAGGCAGTGTTACAGAGAAAGACAGAGATTTCCACTTGCTGCTTCAGTCTCCAAATGGTCACAATGGTGGGGCTAGGCAGGTGGAGGCTGAGGGCCAGGTCTCCCACATGGGTGAAGCGGCCCAAATCTCGGGGCCATCTGCTGCTGCTTTTCCAGGTGCATCAGCAGAGCAGCAGTCCCAGGTGATGGGGGCTTCACCTGCCCTGCCCCTCCTCTTAGCCATGACCTTCATTCACCTGACTCCTATGGCCTTGAGGCAGCATATCAGACCTCATGGCAATCTTTTACATGCCTGATTCCTCCCTCCTCCACTAGATTCATTATTCTTTTTCTTATTTCTATTTTGCCTCATTTTCCCATCAATTTAAAATGTATCTGACATTGCTCTATTGCACGTAACTTGATAATTTCTGAAACAAGGTAAGTTACACAATAAATTAATACCATTGATCTACAAAATTTAGACCACTACCTTAAACATGGCCATCTTTCACACACACACAGATAGCTAGCACTATGGAAAATCCACTTATAAGCGACTTAAAACTACAGATTCTGTTCTACACACATCCTAAGGCTGTCCAGTTCTTCAGCGTGTCTTGGGTTAGGCAGAGATGCATTTCCTTCTGACTGGTATTTTACATATTTGAAGTTCCTGGTGTCACAGCCAGAGACCCAGCAGGAAGCTGATCAGGCTGATCTTTCAAGAGATTTTAACCACCACCTACAGCCAAGTGATTCAAACACTCAAATAGCCAAAAAAAAAAAAAAATGTTTTCAAGATCAGACTTTTACCCCTTTGTGAATTTATCCTACAAAAATGTTAGAATGTGTAAGACCAGACACTTTGCATGTATTCCACAACAAAGAAATGGTACATATACAAAAATGGAGTAATTTGTACCCTGAAAGATAGGAAAGAAAAGGGGCCAGCACAATGGCCTAACAGGGCTAATCCTTCTGTCAGCCAATGTCAGTATCCCATGTGGGTACCAGTTCTAGTCCTGGCTGCTCCACTTCCTCATCCAGCTCCCTGCTTGTGGCCTGGGAAAGCATCAGAGAAAGACCCCATTCCCTGTACCTGCATAGCTTCCAGCCCTGAAGCCTGAACTTGAAGCCACACTAATTCCATCAGTATCATCACCCAGTGAGGGAATGAATCAGAGCAGCTAAACGCAGGAACACAGTTCCTAGTTTGCATCCTAGTAGGTTATCTTCTTGTTCTTGTTGCTCTTGTTCATGCTAAGGCTACGACAGGCTCAGCAGGTTTTCCTGATCGTACAGTTTCTAGTCCAACCTCTAAGTCATGATCTAATGCCTGCTTTGATTAGCCGGAGTAACAGTGTTCCTGGCTAAGCCCTTTTGACTGCTGCTTTGATTCCTGGGGTTCATGTGGAAGCTCCCATACCGTGATGCAGACTCCAGTATAAGTCAGGGAGACACACAATAACACACATGTCCACCATATTATCCTACCACTCCTGCCCATTATGGCTTCATTCACAAATCTTGACCTCCATAATGACTTCCTCCACTATGTAAAAAGCTGTGTCACTTGCTCACATCATTGTCAGAAGCCAACTTTTTTATTTATCTACTCCAATCAAGAAGTAACAGTGGGCACAGCACAATGGCTCAATGGCTAAGACCTAGCCATGCAGGTGCAGGGATCCCATACGGGTGCCAGTTCATGTCTCGGCACGTTCTAGTATATGAACTGAAAACGACTGTAGGAACAAATAAGAAATTAGCAGTAATGACATCTCGGTGAGACAGATTTAAGAAAGAAACACTTAATTTTAGCCTTTATGCTTAAACTTTTGTCACACTAACCTCGTATGAAAGTAAGCATGAAAACCAAAGCATGTTATGGGAACTGTTTTCTGTACTGTTTGCATCTACTGGAGCATCCATGGAAAACAAGCCAGACATAGAAAGTAACGCAGTGAGTGCACGAGGCAGGATAAGCCCAACTTACCTTCTGTGTGTCAATGTCTTGTCTCATGATTCCCATGTCTTTATTTATCTTTTCTTTGTGTTTCTCACATTCACTTAGTTGATCTATAACTTTATTAAGTTCAGTTTCTTTTTGCTATAAAAAATAAAATTCTTTCAGTACATAAAATAAAAATATAACTAAGTATATAATTTTAAGGTTTAAATTACCTTCTTATAGTCATCTTTCCCGTCCTGAATGTAATTCTCAATGTCTTTCATATAACCATGAATATTCTTAACCTTCTCTTTGATGTCATTCAGCTGTGGAAAAAAATCGCACACTCTCATTGGCTGGGTCTCCTGGCACCGAAGAGCAGAGTGCAGTGAAACACAGGCTTGGGGAGAGGAGCCCTGGTTTCCAATGGCTACCACCGACAACTCCATGACCTCCGACTAGTCTCTCTATCATTTATGGCACTGGATTAAATAATCTCAGTTCTATTTTTGACCAACAAAGTAATTTATTTAATCTTTTTTCTAATAAGAACTTCTCATGTTAAAATTCTGCCATGGATCTAAAAACACCATTTATTACTTCTATTGTTGTTTGGGCCCGGCGCCGTAGCTTAGCAGCTAAAGTCTTCGTCTTGAATAAGCAGGGATCCCACATGGGTGCTGGTTCTAACCTTGGTAGCTCCACTTCCCACCCAGCTCCCTGCTTTTGGCCTGGGAAAGCAGTCGAGGATGGCCCAAAGCCTTGGGACCCTGTACCCGTGTGGGAGACCTGGAAGAAGTTCCTGGCTCCTGGCTTCGGATCGGCATAGCATTGGACCGTTGCGCTCACGTGGGGAATGAATCATCAGACGCAAGATCTTCCTCTCTGTCTCTCCTCCTCTCTGTATATCTGACTTTCCAATAAAAGAATAAATAAATCTTTAAAAAAAATTATACTGTTATTTAATTTCCTTTGAAGTAACAGTGTATAACATGGTACAAACTAAGTTAATATGGTTTCATAAATAATAAATGAAATCTTACTTTATCCTGTGCTACTTTGTTGCTTGCGTGTTTTTTGCTAACTAATTCTTCTTTTTCCTGCTGGAATTTCTCCAATGTTGTTTCCAAAGGGTTTACCTGCTCCTTAGCATCCTAAAAATAAACAGGAAATCGCAAAACATTTATCATATAGATATTATTCTTGCACTCTTTAATAAAACCACTTCCTACATCCCATGCTATAAAGTCTCGTTTTCTCCTTGCAATGGTCCTATGAGGAAAGCACCACTATTTTCACCCTCATATTTCAGATTAGTCCACAGGCAGAGTGATGTGCCCAGGGCACTGAGGAGCCAAGGTAGCAGCCAATTAACTAACCCAGTCCCAGAGTTCACTCTTGTTCTAAAAAAGAACATTTACTTAAAAGGCAGAGTGATAGTGAAAGGGAAGAGGCATAGAGATCTTCCTCAAATGGCCACAAGGTCTGGGGCAGGGCCATCTGAACCCAGGAGCAGGGAGCATCAGCCATATTGGGTAACTCAGAAGTGGAGCAGCAAGGACTCAAACTGGTATTCCAATGTGAGATACCAGTGTCCTGGGGAGCAGCTCAACTCACTGTGCAACAAAGTGGGGCCCATGAGTTCATTCTGTGAAGCAGTCTGACACTGCCCCAGTCACTGACTCGACTCTTGGTCTACAATGTATGCATCTATACATAATTAAGTGTCCTCAGACATGAGTTGTATGAGTTTATTAGGTGCCCATATCAGCTGTGTGATCAAACTGGAAAGCTCCTTCAGTTCAGGGTTCTTCTTTGTAGATGCAAGTATGTTGCTAAGAACGTCTGTGGGCCCAGCAAGGTGGCACGGAAGGTAGAGTCACCACCTGAGATGTGGGCATCCCTCACGTCCAATCCTGCCCCCTGCTGATGGCCTTGGAAAAGCAGATGAACACAGCCCAAATATTGGAGCCTCTGCCACTCTTGTGGGAACCCAGAAAGGCTCCTGGCTTCAGCCTTGCCCCGCCCTGGCCATTGTGGCTATCTGGGCAGCAAACTAGCAGATGGAACATCTCTGCCTCTCCCTTTCTCCAACTCTGACTTTGAAATAAATGAATAAATCTTAAAAACGCTTGGGCCTGGGAGCTTATGAACTACCAAACGATGTAGATACTGTACGGTAATTAAAGCATCCTGAGACACTGATGCTGGTGTGTCTTACCTAATGCAAAGGAAACTTAAAGTAATAAGCCACCTCACAAGTCAGAAGTCCCTTAATTTGCCTTGTAATGTTCACAAGATGAAGATCCTGACTTACGTAGAAATAATTACGCAGTAGTATTTCACTGGGTAACTTTTATACTGGGAGTGGTATGACAGGACGGGAAATAATCTGTCCACAGTGTTCAAAAGTCTATGTGAAGATCAACCCTGCTTCTACATGAACTTTGACAATCATGATTATTTAAAACAAAATCTTAATTTCTTTTTCTGTAAAAAGATTGAGACAATGGATGCTTAAGGCTGAGGTGCTTCAGTTAAAAATTTTGCATCTGCAAATTAACACTAATTTATATCATACTCAAACTGATTGTGAGTAATCCAAAACATACTTAGGAAATATCATTTATTGTAAAAGATATTAACTAATCTGATTAATTACTAAATGAACATATTTCATTCTGAAAAATCAAGCTAAGATTACTGTTTCTAAAACTGCTGACAAACTGACTGAATCTTGGATTTGCTTAATCTAGATAATGGGTAAGAAGTGCATTCCAGGATAAATTTCAAACAAAGGCATTTATCTGAAACCCAAAAGGTTTAATATGCATTGCATGTAAAGAACGCCTAGACTTGAATAAGAAACCACTCCAAGCCCCACGTACACACTACCTTGTAGAATATATATATATATTTCAAGAGAAATGCAAAGTGAAACTACGATATCCTTCAACAACCAACACAATTGCACAAATTTTAAATGAGTTACAATAAAGTATTGGAGGGTATGTAAAACCACAGGAAAAAAAAAAAAAAAAAGAAGTGCATTCCAGGACAAATACAGCTTAGTGCCTGCTCACTACGTCTGGGATTGGGCAGAGAATGCTGTGAATGACAAGTGCCTGTCACAGACACAGCATTTGTCAGACTAACGTCCCAGACAAGTATCATCACACAGAGCCATCCCACACACTTCCCTGCTCCAGGAACACAGAGTTCAACACGTTATCAAGCAACTGGTTCTTGTGGATATCATCGTCAGTCTTCTTTCAGAAATCCTGATTTATGGGCATATATTTGGTTACTCAGGAATCATACCAAAAATGATCTCATTTTAATTTGACCCTAACTCCGGGCACTGTCAACATTATCAAAGTCTAATGTAAAGAACAAACATGCAGGAAAGTTCTTGCCTTTATCTCTCTGAACAAAGACTGAACTTCAGTGGACAACTCCACAGTCTGCTCTTCCAGCTGCTGTCGACGCTGCAAATTAGTGGATATCTGAAGTTTCTCTGATTTAAGCTCATTTGTTATGCTTTTTAGGTGTTGTATCTGTTCTTGCTGGTCCTGAATGAGCTTCCGATTCAATTCAATCTTACTGGTCACTGCATGAAAGCACATTGACACCCTGAGTAACACAAGGAAACAGGAGGGTCTCAGGAATCCATCAAGGCCTTCGGCAGACCTCACCAACTGCAACCAAAATGTGGCGAGAACACCGTTAGCCCCTTGTGGCCACTACAGGACATGCAGGACTGGAAAAGCACAGCTCATGATACTTGCCTACTACTCAAAATGCAAGGAAGCATAGAGCAGCTTTTCAGAAAAGAATAAATACATTGAGCTAGAAGGAACAACAGGAGCTGATAATGCCGAAGTCTTTATGGGTACATGAGGAAAAATTACGTTACCTGTATCTAATTTGTGCTGTTTCTCTTGTTTTTCCTGGTTCACCTGCTGAACAGTTCGATCTAAGTCTATTCCTTGTAGCTTAGCTGCTTGCTGTGCGATTTTTCTTTCAACATCTTTAAGTTCCATCTGAAGAAAAGAAGAAAGTTTAAGAAACTTGCTGCATAATCACTATTCAAAAATTTCTTAGTAAAATTGGGAAAATAGAAACAATTTTTAATAATCCAAATGACATGACAGTAAGCTAAAAATGAAAAACAGCAGAATTACATCTTAATTTCCATAACTTATGAATTAAAAAATTAAACCCAGAAAGGTAAACTAAGTTGTTCGTTGAGGCTACATGATGTTTATAATGGAGAAATTTTCTTTTCAGTAATTTTTTTAGGGGGGCTCGAATCTTTTTTTTTTTAAAGATTTTATTTTTATTATTTTTTTTTTTTATTGGAAAGGCGGATATACAGAGAGGAGAGACAGAGAGGAAGATCCTCCGTCCGATGATTCACTCCCCAAGTGAGCGCAACAGGCCGATACTATGCCGATCCGAAGCCAGGAGCCTCCTCCGGGTCTCCCACGCGGGTGCAGGGTCCCAAAGCCTTGGGCCGTCCTCGACTGCTTTCCCGGGCCACAGGCAGGGAGCTGGAAGGGAAGCGGGGCTGCCGGGATTAGAATCGGCGCCCATATGGGATCCCGGGCGTGCAAGGCGAGGACCTTTAACCACTTGCGCCACCGCACCGGGCCCAGCTCGAATCTTTTTAAGGTAACTTTTCCCCCCAAGCTTTATTTATTTTTATTCGAGAGAAGGAGAGACAAAGATCTTCCATCTACTGGTTCACTCCCCAAGTGGTCACAACAGTCAGAACTGGGCTGATCTGAAGCCAGGAGCTTCTGGGTCTCCCATACAGATGCAGGGTCCTAAGGCTTTGGGCCATCTTCTACTGCCTTCCTAGGCCACAGAGGGAGCTGAGAGGGAAGCAGAGCGGCTGGGACATGAACCAGCGTCTAAATGAGATACTAGTGCATGCCAAGTCGAGGACTTTAGCCACTAGGCTACCATACCAGGCCATGGAGCTAGAATTATAGCATAGTGGTTTAAGTGCCCATGTACAACACTCATATCTCACGCAAGCACAGGCTCAAGTTCCAGTTGCTGAACTTCCTATCCATCTCTGCTCATGTACCTGGGCAGGCAGTGGAAGAGAGCCCAAATCCTTGGGCCTTTTGCACTTAAGTGCAGAAGCTGCATGCAGTTTCGTGGTTCCGGCTTCTGCCTGGACCAACCCCAGCCATCATGGCCACGAGGGGAGTAAACCAGGGATGAAAGATATCATCCCATCTCTTCTTGTATCTCTTTCAAATAAATAGAAAAAATTTGTTTACTTGAAAGGCAGTTACAGAAAGAGAGAAATCTTCCATCTGCTGTTTCACTTCCCAGGTTACTACAACAGCCAGGACTCGTGAGGTGGAAGATAGGTGCTAAAACTCCAGCCAATCTCCCACATGGGTAATGGGGATCTACAATTTCAGCCATCTTTCCCAAGTGCATTAGGAGGAAGTGACGGATCTGGGAGTCGAACCTGCACACATATGGGACTCTGGTGCAGCTGCTACACCACAGAGCTAACCCCATGAGGGGAAATTCTGAACACAACTGTTTCTAAACCGTATCTACTATTTTTAATACTTCAGCCATCTTTCATATTCAAGTCACCATGAAATAAGTTTTACTCCAATTCAAACTCTAGCAAACTCACCTGGAGCCTCTCCATAATTGTAACATCTGTCAGACATACTTTAGCACTTTCTTCTTCAGGCATTATTGTGCCCAAGAGAGTTTCCTGTTCTTCTATGTCATTCTTTAGGCGTTGTATATCTCTATTGACATTCTGTAGTTTATTTCTTAATTCTGGTATTTCTTTCTCCTTCAAATCTACTATGCTTTGCCTTAACAGAAAACACACAATTAAAAATAATCTGATGCTCTCTCATAATTAGACTAAAGTTATGTATTTTTTGGCAGGAATATCATAGAAGTGACACTGTATCCTTTCCAGATCATCAGATCACTAGTTAAGCTGGCATCAATACACCTTATTACAAATTCACCTGGGGAAGGTGGTGTACTCAGTTTTCTCCACTGTTAAGTTCCTATTTTTCTTGTTTGAATTATACACCAACACTGTGTAATTACACTGCTTTTCCTCAAAATTCTGCCGCTGAGTTTAGTAGACCTTGATAGATCTTTCCTGTAATAACTAGTGTTTTGGTGCTGGTTAAGCTGAGAGATACGCTACAGATCAACTCATATAAAATATCAAGGCCCATTAGCAGGGTAAGACACTAGGTATGCCTGCATCCTATACTGCAGTGTCTAACTTCAATTCCCGGCTATTTTCCATACAGCTTCTGGCTAACAGTGCCCTTGGAGGCAGCAGGGTATAGTCCAGGTACATGCAGATCTGCTACACACTTCGGAGACCTGGATGGAGTTATGGCCTCCCAGCTTAATCTGACCCAACCCTGGCTACTACAGGCATGTGGAAAGTGAACCTGATGACTAAAGATCAATATCGCTCTGCTGCTCTGGTTTTCAAACAAGTAAAAAACATAACGTGTGTCAAGGGTATGAAACACAAAAACTAGTTAGCTGTTGCACTCAGGAGGCTAAAGAGAAAAGAGGGCAGTGTCCTGACACAGTATTAAAGGAAAACTGCTACAATGTAAACTTGGCTTATAATTCAACACTAACTTCCTAATTTTGATAAATGCATTGTGTTAACATCAGGACAATCTGGGTGAAGATATTCCTAAATACCCTGTACTAATCTTGCAATCTTTCTGCAATCACATCTGATTCCCTATTTGAGCCACATCATCTCACAGAACCATAAACACCATAAGTCACTGTTGTGAGGCACTAAATTTTGAGGAGGTTCATTAACACAGCATTTACTAACTGGAACAGATAAAGAGCTGTCACACACACCTTCAGTTATCGAAGTTAAATACGACAAACTGTGCATGGTCCTTACTCTGGGGAGGGGCGCGGTGACAAAAAGAATCCTAGTATAACCTAATGTTAACCTCTGCCATTTGCGATAGATCTGTGCAACATAGAACTAAAGACACATTTCCCCAACATGCCCATTCTACCAACTTCAAGTTTTATTTGTCTTTTTCTTTTTAAGGTGCTATCTTATTTCTCTACTTCTTTTTTCATGCTCAAACTATGGCTTCCGTCTCATCAACTCTATGGCCCAAATAACCTGGTTTTCACCCTTAATGCCTGCATTAGTTATCTGTTGCTACACAACAAAATGCCCTCAAAATTGGCAGCTCTGCAACAGGAGCACTCAGTTGTCTCAGACAAATGGGGCAGGAAAATGCCTGTCTTGAGGTCTCTCGGTAACCTGCAGTCAAGCTGTCATCCAGGGCTGAGACACTGAAGAACAATCCCTGAAAAACGTGCTTTCACACTCTCCGTGAAACATCAACACCCAAACGGGACGCTGGACACATCTCAGCCATCAGCTTTACCTCCTATACAACACCTGCCCTGTTCTCTTTCCTTTCTGTTCACCCAGCAACTCCCGAGTGCCTTCCATATGCCAGGCACTGCACAGCACCTTCTGCAGTGTCGCTGCCACCTGCAGCGTAACAGTAAACAGTCTTCTCACCTCATGGGCACAAGTCCCAGCATTTCATCTCGCCGCTTTTCTTTCTTCTTTAGATCTGATTCTGTTGACTTGAGTTTATCTGGAGCAAGCCGTAGTTTGGATTGCAAATCACTGATGACTTCTTGTAATTCAGCCTCTGTCTGAAAAACTCTCTGACAGACAGGACAACACGACTGGTTTTCATCTGTCAGCTGAGTAATGAACTGGGAGTAAACAGCCGTGGCCCCAGCAAGCATAGCTATTTTAGGAAAATAAACACATTTCCGATGAGAAAAATATGAAATATCATTTTGTCAACATGGTTATGTCTTTTTCTATAATACACTAATTCTTGCTTCATAAGCAATGCTACTAACAAATAAAAATCATCTGATAAATTTTTTTCCCAAAAGGCATGATACATTCAGATTTGCCTAAATCATTTTCAGCTAATATACAGTAAGTACAAACTTACTGAACATTTTCTATGTGCTGGCTAGTATTCAGAGTTTCACAATCCATCTTATTTACTCCTGAAAAGCGCAGGCAACAGCTGTGTCCTTACTTCACAGGCTATGACTATGACACCTAAGAAGGTTCCCAAATATTGCCCAAAGTCACAATTTGAGGAAGTTCATAACCAAGATAAAACTCAAGTCTCCTGGCTCCATAAACTAGTATTAACATATCCCATCCTTAAAAGTCACCTGTGAACACAAATCCAAAACCATTGAAGTGCCGTAATAACATAAAGGAGATTACTCACCTCGCTGTTTTGAGGATTTTTCAATGTCCTCTTTAAGCCTATCTAAATCACTCTCAAAATCTTGGCTTCCACAAACATCAAAAAGCTTGTCTTCATAACTTGACAGTTGCTCTTCCTTTCTTTTTAGCTCATTGTTGATATGATTTTTATTTTGCTCAGCTGAAGCTAGCTCCTTGCTAAAGTAAGGATACAGAACATAAATTCAAAGCATCAGAGGAATGGTCTGAGTTAACACATACAAGACAAATTCTACCAAGAAATGATTACAAGGTTTCAATGTCATGACCACAGGCTGGGACACTAATCCTGGGCTGGTGCCAGAAAGAGGGGCATGGCAGAACTTTGCCTGCTTTCTGGGGATCCCCAGTCTTAGTCTATGTTAAGAGACATAACAAGAAGATGCCTGCTGGGCATATTGGAGGAAGGGAACAGAGTAGAACATTCTCCTAAATCTCTTTAGTCTCTGTCACAATACCAACTTCCCTACTCACCTGTAAAAACAAAAAACCCTTTCTTTTCTTCCCTCCTATTGCTGTCATCTGCTTCTCTTCTAATGGCTACTTCTTAAAAGATTTTGCTTACTGGTTCAATTTATCTCTACCCCAACTCCTGAAATTCATCCTAGCCCAACCTCAAGGCTCACACTTAGTGGAGTTTTTCTGATGCACAGGTTATATTACACTATGAAGTCCTGTAATTAGTTTAATCCACTGAACTCCACACATTTTGTTTCAGACGGATGCTGAGTAGGTATACACTTCACCATCCTACCTCCAGTGAATAACAACATCATTTGGGAAACTGGTAACTTTCAGCATCCTAGCCTACACAGACTACTTCTCATCAAGAATTGCAAAGATTTAAGTGTCAAGTGCAGTCTTCACTCTCCCTCTAAGGGAGCACTGAATACTATCAACCACCTCCTTGGGGGACCATCTTCCCAAGGCAACCCATGTGCCACTTCTCTGTTCTCACCTGGGCTCCCCGGACATGCCCCACCGTACTTCACCTGTTCTTTGTAAATACTGGTGCTCATTTGGAATCTAAATCCTCCTCTTAGAATTCTCTCAAGACAACATGGTCTTTGATGATGACTTCAATCAGCCTTTCATTATCCCAGTCTCCTGAATTTCAAACTCCAATATTCTATTCTCTCACTGACACTTCCATAAGAAATACAAATTTAACATGACCCAGACCAAATCCACTATCTTTTTAAATTGACCTTCTTGCCCAACTGTCACCCAGAGTAACATGAGAAAAATAATTTTTGTTTTTCAAGATGATCACTCACAGAAATTAAGACAACTTTAGAATCTCTTTGAAACCTACAGATTTTCAAGGAACAAGAGGCCCAAATTACTATTCTTTATTACTAACATTGTAAAATAAATGGAAGTAAACCACCATCACATATCACTGTCAAAAAATTACTTTTAAAAATAAAAAATTAAATCACAAGAAATGCCTATTGTATCTCAAAATACTGCAACCACTTACTTCAATTTGGCAAGTCTGTCTCTGGTCTGATTAATTTCTTTTGATTTACTATGAAGCCAGTCCTCAAGCTGTTTTTTGTTGGGAAAATACCCCAACAGTGAAGTTAATTCATCACTATGCCTAGATTTTATTTTTCTAATTTGTTCATCTTTGTCAACCTGTAAGTTCAAGAAAAAAACAAACAAACAAAATATCCTGAAAATAAAGCTTGGTATATACATATTACATCAGAAATGAAACTGTACAATAATTGAAGTTTTAGGCTTAGAAAAATAAAGCTATGCAGGCAGAAAATACAAAATTTCTTAAAAGTCTTGCAGAAAGGTCTTTTAAGCCATAACAGAATAATAATATGCCTTTATTTAAAAGGTAACAGGAATGTATGTGTGTACTTCCCGGGTTTTTTTTTTTTGGTAACTAAAATAGGACGTTTAAAGTCTTGGGTAATAAGTTTACTTAGCATCTAAAGATAAAGCCACTAACAATTCAATATTCCATAGTCTGTCTATTATGAGCACAAGATAAACTACTTCCAAACCAAACAGTTTAATGAGAACAAGAAAACTCATACTTTGTCTTTATTCAGCATCTCCATCTGGGTACGTGTTGTCGTATGATGATTTAACTGCTCCATTTCCTGGTCCAGTTTACGCAGGTTCCTGTCTAGGTCTGTTTTCTCATTTTGAAGACTTATTACTTCTGTTTTTAGGGTTTCAACATTACTGTTTTTCTCAGCCTTGCTTAATTCACGTTCCTAGACAATAATTCAAACAAATGTGTAGGTTTATATGCAAGAATTAAAATCATAGCAAAATTTATTGGATATTAACTACTCTTCAGCACGGCCAAATATTACTGTTTGCCCAAAGAGAAACCCCATGAAGTTCTAAGTGTACTTCAGGAAAATGTATTAAAGTTACTTTCTGTTACAATGGTAGATAATTAGTAAATAAACCTAGAAGCATCAAATAGGAAGGAAGAGAGTTTGTGCAAAATTAGGAGAACTATATCTATACACAAATAGTGGCTTCTCAGGCAAAAAATTATTAGGTTTGTGCATAACTTCACTGTTATTACCTAGCAAGCACACACTATAAAAGCAGTGTGATGCGGTTCTTGTCCGATGTCTCCTCAAAGACAACACTATAACCCAATGCTAAACTGACAAAAATGTATGAGTTAGGGAGTAAAAACGTTTCCTTGAATTAGAGGACTTACTGTTCTTTAGGATGTATGCATAGGTGATGAAAATGTCAAGGAAGTGGAGCAAAGAATGGAATTTGGAAATTCTTGCGCAGAGATCAGCTAAGAAATTTTGTACTGAAGAAAAAAAGTTACTATGGTACAACTATGTATGTTATCTTTTGTTTGGAAATGTAACATGTATATAGTTTGCAACTTAAAAATAAGCATATTTTTTAAGCAATGTAATTCTTTTTTTTTCTTTAAGATTTATTTGGTTTTATTTGAAAGTCAGATTTACAGACAGAATGAGAGACAGAAATATCTTCAATCTGCCGGCTCACTCTACGTAGCCACAATAGTCACAGCAGAGCCCATCCAATGCCAGGAGCCAGGAGCTTCTCCCAGGTCTCCCATGTGGGCTGCAAGGTCCCAAGGCTTGGGGCTATCCGCTACAGCTTTCCCAGGCCACAAGCAGGGAGCTGAAAGGTACTTGGAACAGTGAGGACATGGAACGGCACCCATATCCTGTTGCATGCGAGGCAAGGATTTTACCCACTAGGCTACCATGCTGGGCTCTATATAATTGGTTCTTAACCACATTTTTTTGTTTTTGTAAAAACTACATTCTTATTTAGTTTTGGACATTCATTTCTACACACATTCTCAGATATTTTGATTTAGAAAGTCAAGTTTTAACTTCTAAGCACACAAGTGACTCAATTTTCAACCCATCCAGTTTCCAATGAGTCACATCATTAAGATATTGAGATGAATTTGTTTTACATTACACCAACAGTCACAGCTGACAGTATATTAAAAGCTATAATACAAAATTAGCAACAAATAAAATATTTCAGAACGCAAAATTTTAAAGGTCTTACATCTTAAAATTATTACTCAAATATCTTACGGCTTTTTTGAGCTCCTGTTCCAGTTCAAGAATCCTGTCTGAAGATCCTTCCAACTGCTGTAATTCAAACTTCACATTCTTCAGTTCACTCTGCTTCTTATTTAGGATTTCTGATTTTAGCTCAATTATTCTTCCCAATCCAGTTTTTTTATCTCTTATCTCATCTATTTGTTTCTGTTTCAGAGTCTCTTTTTCTGCAAAGTCATTCTAAATACATAGTGAAGAAGGAGTGTTAATTTTTTCACTAAAAATACAGGCTTCTTTTAAAAATAAAACATACACTGAAAAACTCAGGACAGTATTCTTAAAAATGTAAAAACAATCATGATCAGTATTGTGAGAAAACTTTTCTTTTTACAACGTTAGAAAAATCCTAAGACCAAATAAGAAATGTAGATCTACCTTTTCTATCTTTATAAAACCATAAAGATTTACTTCCATAAAAGTTAACCCTACCTTGTAGCGGTGTCCTAATACTAAGAAAATATGTCAAAATAAAGTTCACCCAACAATTATAACAATTCATATGCAGATCTGACAGAACCAAAAGAAAACACTGTATTTTCATGTATTTACCATCAGCTGGTTGGCAGTCTCTGTCTCCTTTTCTTGTCTCTCTCTCACAAGTTTGTGAAAACTTTTAATTTGTCTTTCGTTGAAGGGTCCACGTTCAAAGCCATCCAATTCCAGCTGTGCTGCCAAGGACTGAATTAATGAGTCTCTAGCTCGGATCTGTTCCTGATGGCGATCTGCCTGTAGCTGAAGACGACCTACAAACACATACCAACCTACTAAGTCTCTAAATCAGATTCTGTAAGACTTGAAATCACCACAGACTAAAATGCTGTTTTAAAAAGTACAGTGTGTACCACATAATTTAAAAAAAAAAATGTAAAATAAAAAGGTACAGCGTGATATCTTGTATATATTGCTCAGTTGCCCCAAAAACATTCTGCAAAAATTCCAATATAATGTTACAAATAGGATACTTACACCAATAAAACACATCAGTATGACTGAAATTTCTTCAATTTTACTTGTGTCCATTTGTGCTGTGTGAATTAAGTTCTATATAATCTTATTATCTGTGCAGATTCATAGATCCACAGTGACAGTAAAGATATGAAATTGTTCAGAGAGAATCCTCTTGGGGAAGGGTGGAGTAGTGGTGACCATCTCATAGAGAAAAACCTGGAGCTAACATCCAGCTGCAGCCCTGACTCCAACCTCCTCCTCCTGCGGTTCCTGGGGGCAGCATTGATAGCTCAAGTGACTGATGCCTGCCACCCATGTGGGAACTAGGTGCCCCTGGAGTGAGCTCACGCCTTCCACGCTAGCCCAGTTCTAGCCACTGTGGGCCTTTGGGGAATGAACCTGTGGAGAGGGGATCAATTTTGTCTCTTTGCCTCACAATTTTTTTTTCAAAGAAAAAAAAAAGACACATGATGGGGATTTGGCACAATGGCCAAGACAACCATGCAATGGAACTGGGGTTGTGGCCTAGTAAAGCTTCCACCTTCAGCACTGGCATCCCATATGGGTGCTTGTTCAAGTCTGGCTCTTTCACTTTCAGCCTAGCTCTCTGCTTATGGCCTGAGAAAGCAGTAGAGGAGCGCCCAAAGCCCTGGGGTCCTGCACCTACATGGAAGATAAGAAAAAAGCTCTTGGATACTGGCTTCAGACAGGCTCCATTCCAGCCTCTGTGGCCATTTGGGGAATAAACCAGCAGATAGATTTCCTTCTCTGTAACTCTTTTAACTAAAAAGTAAATAAATTTTAAAAACAACAACAAAAAAAGATATCCATGTATCAAATCAGAGGACCTGGGTTCAAATCCTGGATCCTTTCCCATTCCCAGTTAGTGCAAACCCTAAGAAGAAGGTGGTAACTCACAGTAGACTGAAATTTAGCTCCTGGCTCCTGACTCTGGCCTGGTCTGGCCCTGGCTGCTTTAGGCATTCGGGAGCAGACAGACATTTGGAGAGTTCGCTCTGCCTCTGTCTCTGTTATTCCTCACAATCACTACTCCACCATTTCTAAAATTTTAATACAAATTAAAGCATACTATATTCAACATTTTTAAACTGGTGCTTTTTCACTCAGTGTAATTCTCTAGAGACTCTCCGATCATGCAGAAAACATGTAACACTATAGGAAAATAAACCAAGCAAACATTTTTTCCTACCCTGTTCAACAAGGAGTTCTGATTTTTCTTGATTGAGAAGTCTAGACTCTTTATTTAATTTCTCTAGTTCACGCTGACAATCTACTAATTTCCTTTCTTTTTCTCTAACTGTTCTCTGGTGATTGTGATACAAGTCATTTAGCTGGTCATCAGTCCCTTGAAAAACCTGCATGAAACCAAACAAAAAGCTTTAATGTATAAACATAAGAGTATAATTTTCAGGATCAAATATTCAATTGAGGCTTATAATCAACTTATACACTATACACAATTTATGTAACACATTCATAAAAGTTGCAAAAATATTAAGATTTGTAGTTTTTTTTTTTCTCAAAATGTAGGTGGCAAGACTGACTAAAATGAGGTTCATCACAATATCTCAAAAATTTGGAACAGAATTCTGCTATCACAAACCTTTTCCATTTTCTGTTCCAGTTCACTGTTATCCTTCTGCATTTGCTTCTTTCGGCTCTCCAAGGCTTTAATTTCATTGTCAAGTCTCATTATTTTGGAGAGATTGTTTTCAATTTCTTTCAGACGGTTCTGAAAATAAAGAAGCATTCTACATAAATGAAACCTACTTTCATTCATACCGCTGATGAAGAGAAGACAGACGTGTCCAGGCAAAGCATTTAGGGAAAGTGATCTCATTTACTGCTACAATAACACTGTTAATGGGGCACAGAAAAACTGATGAGCGATATTAGCGAAATTGTTGAGTCCTCTCAACAGACAAGCAATTAAATTCCATCTCTAATAAGAGTCATTCATTCATCCACAGTTACAGCTACCATATGAAAGTAATCCTAGTGTTGGCAGAGTGGTGTGATGGTGTAAGCTGTCACTAACACCACCATTAACCTATACTGGAGTGCCAACCAAGTCCCAGCTGCTTTGCTTCCAATCTTGCCAACATACCTGGGAAGGCAGTACATTATGGGCCAATACAAAAACAGAGGAGATCAGGAACAAACTCCTGGTTCCTGGCTATGGCTTGGCCCACACACATGTTATAACCATTTGGGGATGAACCAGCAACAGGGAGATCTCTTGCTTTCTCTGTCACAATGCATTTAAAATAAATTTCTCCCCAAGAGGCCACTGAACTTATCTGGACAATAGGACACGGAACTTTATGCTAGGCATGTGTTTGCAAGCAATGAATCTCAACTGAACTTGATCTATGGTTATGCAACAAGGTGGAGGAATCCACCATGGGGGGAGGGGTGTGGGAGGGGTGGGGGGAATCCCCAGCGCCTATGGAGCTGTACTACATAATACAATGTAAGCAACAATAATAATAATAATAATAAAAAAAAAAAATTTCTAAAAATCTTTTTAAAAAGTTAATCTCAGGGCCAATACTGCACACTGAGCCTCTACCTGAGGTGGTGGCATCCCATATGGGCATTGAGTCCCAGTTGCTCCACCTCCAATCCAAGTCCCTGCTAATTAAGAAAGTAGTAGAGGGTGGCCCAAGTGCTTGGGCCCCTGTACCCATATGGGAGACCTAGAAGTTGTTCCTGGCTTTGGAACAGCCCAGCTCCAGCTTTTCAGCCATTTAGAGGGTGAACTAGTAGATGTAAGATTTTTCTGTTTCTCCTCTCTCTGTAACTGTCTTTCAAATAAAAATAAATTTTCTTTAAAAAGTTGATCTCTAAAAGTGCATTTCACTATTTTTTATTTATTTATTTGGAAGACAAAAATAGAAAGAGCTCTACCAACTCCTGGCTCACTCACAGGGCAAAGCTAAAAGCAAGAGGTGGGAACTCAACCTAGGTCTCCCACGCAGTTATCAGGAACCCAGCTCCTGAGCCATCCTGTGGCGGCCCCAGCATGCACATCAGCAGGAAGCTGGAATCAGGAATGAAGCTGGGACTCAAACCCAAGAACTTGCATGATGCAGGCCTCCCAATCAGCCATCTTAACCACTAAGCCAAGCAAAAACTCATCTCTCACTATTTTTTAAGAAATCAGAATTACGGGCCCGGCACGGTGGCATAGTGGTTAAGTCCTCACCTTGCACGCCCGGGATCCCATATGGGCGCCGGTTCTAATCCCGGCAGCCCCGCTTCCCTTCCAGCTCCCTGCCTGTGGCCCGGGAAATCAGTTGAGGACTGCCCAAAGCTTTGGGACCCTGCACCCGCGTGGGAGACCCAGAAGAGGCTCCTGGCTTCGGACCGGCATAGCATCGGCCGTTGTGCTCACTTGGGGAGTGAATCATCGGATGGAAGATCTTCCTCTCTGTCTCTCCTCTCTGTATATCTACCTTTCCAATAAAAAAATAATAATAAAAATAAATCTTTATAAAAAAAACATGCATTTGGGGGAACTGGCACAATGACTCAATTACCTAATCCTCTAAATGCAAGCACTGGCACCCCATGGGTGCCAGTTCCTTTCCAGCTGCTCCACTTCCTATCCATCTCCCTGCTCATGCTCTGGAAAAGCAGTAGAGGACGGCCCATAGCCTTGGGACCTTGCAACCACATGGAAGATCTGACAGAAGCTTGTGGCTTCTGGCTTTGGACTGCTGCAACCATTGTGGCCACTGGGAAAGTGAATCACTGGATGGAAGATCTTCTCTGTCTCTCCTCCTCTCTCTCTATATATATATATCTGACTTTGCAATAAAAATAAATAAATCTTAAAAATGAAAAAGATTGTAAACTTTACCACAAAAGATATTCAGATGGTATATAAGTTATATGAAGACATTCAAGGTTAACAGTCACTGGGAAAAGCGTAAATTAAAACCAACCAACCAACAGCCCCCCTCCTCCCCCAAAAAACACATTTCAATGAGATAATAACCCATCCTATGATGATGGCTATATGAACATGAGTGACAACAGTAAAGCCAGTTGTGGACACAGAGCAGCTGCTCTCCTGCACACTGCTGGTATTAACACAAAACAATACAGCAGCCTCATTCCTAAGGGGTTCCCCCAGATACATGAACTCATACATACAAAGACAATACACAAAAGCTTTTCACAGGTATATCTATAAGGGTCAAATACTGAAAAAAATTACCATCCACCAATCAGAATGGATGAGCAAAATTAATATATCCATACAATCTGATATTCCTCAGTAATAAAACAGAATGAACTATTTACATAGGAATAAACAAATATAGAGCATTTTGCTAAGGAAGGAATCTTGGTACACAAATCCTTATACTGTATAATTCCATTTAAATATCATACAGAAGGGTCAGAGGTGTCAGGGACTGAAGCAGAAGGGGAGACAAACAGAGAGGCAGTCTCTGAGAAAATGTATACCAGTATGTAGTAGGTGGCTTCCAGGGAAAGGGTACATTCATGCCGTTTGTGGAAAACAAAAACGGTGTCTTCGAGAAATATCTTTTGGGCACAGAAGAACAGAGAATAGAACTGATCCTCAAAAATGTGGAATAATGATTCTCAGCCAGGATATTTCACAATCTTCTCAGCTTCAATCCATCCATGCTTACACTGCCAGAAGGTGATTCAGCACCAAGTCATCTAGGCTTGGGGCTTCCGTAAATCTAGCTGTCCATCACAGTTGATCATTTCTTCTTTGACAACTGTGTTTTGGCCCTGTCCCCAAGGTGCACAACTTACTAGGACAAACTATACCAGACTGCTTGAAAGCACTAGTGCTACATAACATGACAAGTGCTACATAACATAACATACCAGGCACTTTAGAACCAAAAGATCTGTGTGGGAAAGGAAACAAACCAACCTATCACGCAATTCTTTAAAGAAGCAAAAGACAACAGGCCTAAGGGAGTCAAAACGACAAGATGCAATGGATGAAAGGACAAAACCTACCCAGAGAGTTCCTATGAGTGGAGGCAATCTGCACAAACAGCTGAGTATGCACTGCCTCTCAGGCAAGACAAAACAGGCTTCTCTGGACAGCAGCTGGGAATGTCACTGGGCCTAAATGTTGTGTTTTATGAAGGAAGGAATCTTTGACACAATAGCTAGGAAAGTACTTTGGAAATCACTCAATAAAATTCACTGAACCATTTGCTATTCGCCAGGCACTGAGGCAGGCCCTAAAAATACAGAGAATGAGACTAAATCCATAGTGAGTTGGTCACAAGCAAACCCCAAAAGCCAACACCTGTGCCTTTGATACAGCCTCTGGTTAGACTACCAGCACCACTCAATAAATACTGGACTTCATTACTCGGCTCCACTTTGATCTTAGTTTCCATGAAACTCCCTATTTCAGATTTCCTTGATAATATTCAAAGACAGCTTGCAACTTAACAGCTTCTCTAAGATTACTCACTTTGGATCAAAAAAGCAACATCCTACATTCAACCTATAAAATCCTCTTGGCTGGATTGGCTCAGCTCCAGCCACTGTGGCCACTTGGGATGTGAACCAGCAGACAGAAGATCTTTGTCTCTCCTTCTCTCTGTAAATCTGCCTTTCCAATAAAAATAAATCTTTAAAAATAAATTCCTCTCTAGCCACCTCAGACAGAAATTCTCCTCCTTCCTCTTCCAACTGCCCTTTATCTCTTGGACTTTTTTTTTTCTTATCACAGTGCTTGTCATCTCTCCAACAAGGCACTTTCTAGAAAATAAAAATTTGTTCTAGGGCCCAGCGCGGTGGCGCAAGTGGTTAAAGGTCCTTGCCTTGCACGCCCGGGATCCCATATGGGCGCCGGTTCTAATCCCGGCAGCCCCGTTTCCCATCCAGCTCCCTGCCTGTGGCCTGGGAAAGCAGTCGAGGACAGCCCAAAGCTTTGGGAACCTGCACCCGCGTGGGAGACCCGGATGAGGCTCCTGGCTTCGGATCGGCATAGTATCGGTCCGTTGCACTCACTTGGGGAGTGAATCATCGGACGGAAGATCTTCCTCTCTGTCTCTCCTCTCTGTATATCCGCCTTTCCAATGAAAAAATAATAAAAAAATAAATCTTTAAAAAAAAAAATGTGTTCTATTATCTGGGTAATTATAGTGCATATACACAGTTATCAGGACAATGTACTCTGAAATACAATTTATTCTCTTGTGGTCTAAGCCACTCTGATCCAATTCTTCTCCTTTTATACTGATTTACTTAACTTAGCTCTCATATATTCTTGCTCTAATAAATCAGTATATGTGAGTACATTCATGTAAACACAAAAACATTTACACATACAAGGATACAGTATATATGCTATATTTAAAAAAGTGGTGGTCAAGCACTTTTGCCCAGAGGTTAAAATGCTAACACCCCAAGTGGAATGCCTGGGTTTGATTTCCGGGTTCAATTCTTCCCTTCGGCTCCTGTGTCCTGCTCATTCCAGCTTCCAGCTAGTGCACACTCTGAAAGGCAATGATGCCTCATGTAATTGGTTCTTGTCACCTACACTGGGAACCTGAACTGAGTTCCTACTCCTAGCATTAGCCTGGCGCAGTTCAGCACCAACTGTTGCAGGCATTTTGGAAGTAAATCAGTGGACAGAGGCTCTCTCTGCAAGATTTCTTGCCAATTAAGAAAGAGAAACCTGAGCCTGGCACGGTAACCTAGTGGCCAAAGTCCTCACCTTGCACACACTGGGATCCCATATGGGCGCCGGGTTCTAATCTTGGCTGCCCCGCTTCCCATCCAGCTCCCTGTCTGTGGCCTGGGAAAGCAGCAGAGGACGGCCCAAAGCCTTGGGACCCTGAACCCACATGGGAGACCCGGAAGAACCTCCTGGCCCCTGGCTTTGGATGGGTTCAGCTTTGGCCATTGCAGCTGCTTGGGGAGTGAAACAGTGGACAGAAGATCTTCCTCTCTTTCTTCCTCTCCATATATCTAACTTTCCAATAAAAATAAAATAAATCTTAAAAAAAAAAAGAAAGAAAAGAAAATCAGTAGCATATGCTCTGGAGATAAGAGATGAAGAGCAGAAAGGTTCTTTTACTTTTTATTTAATATCCTGTAACTTTTTCATTGCAAACACTACTTTTAAGAGAAAAATTTAATATACATAAAATACTTTATCAATTTCTTCCCTTTCTTTGAAGACCAGCTTCGTCCTGACTAAAGCCTCTGTGATACATCTCTAAGACCACTATCATGAGCCCGGTAGCGTGGCCTAGTGGTTCAAGTCCTCGCCTTGAACCCGCTGGGATCCCATATGGACACAGGTTCTAATCCCAGCAGCTCCACTTCCCATCCAGCTCCCTGCTTGTGGCCTGGGAAAGCAGTTGAGGACGGCCCAAAGCTTTGGGACCCTGCACCCGCGTAGGACACCCGGAAGAGGTTCCTGGTTCCTGGCTTCGGAGATCGGCTCAGTTCCAGCTGTTGTGGCAACTTGGGGAGTGAATTATTGGACAGAAGAACTTCCTCTCCGTCTCTCCTCCTCTCTGTATATCTGACTTTGTAATAAAAATAAATCTTAAAAAAAAAAAAAAGACCACTATCATGAAGAAAAAATTACATACTTTACAATTCAAAAACCTATACCAATACTGACAGGTAATTTAAAAAATTAAATACGTTAATGTTCCCATTTTTCAAATATCTTCTTCCTGAACTTAGAAAATAGTTTGTTCTTTTAAAATATGTATCTTTATTTAAAAGGCAAAGTTTACACAGAGAGGCTGGGGGAGAGGGAGGGAAAGACGGAGCCCTTCCATCCTCTAGTTCATTCCCCAAATGGCGGCTGCAGCAGGAACTGTAAAGGAAATGGAGCAGCCCACACCGGAGTACATGAGCTGGACTCTCAGTGTGGACTCCCAATTCCAGGTTCTTGCAAACGTTCCCATGCCCCCCAAGAGGCGGTGGCGATGACTCAAGCAACTGAGCTCCTGCCACTCATGGGGCTGACCACTGTGGCAGGCACTTGGGGAGTGAATCAGCGGATGGGACTGTATCCTCATTATTTGTTTCTCAAATAATTAATTAAAAGGGAATAAAATGTTTAAAAGGAGAATATTACCATGTTAAAATATGTAAGACTTTCTCCTTAGTACTGAAGAGATCAACTATTATACTTCAAAGTAACCACCGTTAATAATAATGCAGTGTAACACTTCAAAATGACTATTCTCATCACATGGTATGGGAGGTTACACATCTACTGATCTTATTAGCCGTTCCACAACATATGCTTCTATCAAACATTCGGTATGCCATACAGACATACAATTATAATTTATCAATTAAAAATAATTACCTTCAGTGGTTCCAGTTCATTCTCATAGGATTTGACAATTTCCTTTGAAGATGTCAGCTGGGCTTCCTTAGTAGTAATCTGATCACGGATTTCACAGGCTTTTTCCTTATTTTGCTTCAGGTATTTTAGTTCAGTTTGACATTCTTTCACTTTCTGACCTTGTGTCTGACGAACCTGACGAAGCGTTTCTAAGGCTTTAATGTACCTTTGGAAATATGACACAAAAATATATAGAATTTCTAGCGAACTTGGTTACAAGTATATATTAATACAGTCGAATGGTACACAGTCATTAAGATTACATTTACCAAAACTTCTTAGCAACTTTGCAAACATGTATGACATAATGATTAAACGAAAACCGTCAATCAGTAAGAAAACAGAGGAAATACACCCAATGGCTGCTTCTAAGGTAAACATAACTGATGATCTTTCTGATGGAAAAAACATTCAAACTAGAACCATGACGTACTAAAACTTCTGAACTATAAAGTTTACTAAAGGATACAAACCTTGTTGCAGAAAAAATCTCATCGAACTTTTGCTTGAGAGCCTTTCCTTCACTTAAGGGCCAATTAGAGTCTTCTTGATGACAGAAAATGACATTGTTTAACACAGACTTGGAAACGCCCAGAGAACTTATCATTTCTCGATCAATCTCTGCACACTTAGAGCTCAGACTGACCTTCTCACCATGCCTAGACAAAATGAAAACCAAGAAAACAGGCAGACAAATCTTCAGTTACCTTTTTCTTTTTAAATTCCTAATTTTAAAAAAACATTATTATCTCTAATTGGAAAGTCAGATTTACAGGAAGAAGGAGAGACAGAAAGATCTTCTGTCCACAGATTCACCCCCTAAATGGCCACAACAGCTGGAGCTGAGCCAATGCAAAGCCAGGAGCCAGGAGCCAGGAACAGAGCCCAAGGATCAGGCCCATCTTCTACTGCTTTCCCAAGCCATAAGCAGGGAGTTAGATGGAAAATACAGCAACTGAGACACAAACAGATTTCCATATGGGATCCCAGAGCATTCAGGGCAAGGATTTAGCTACTAAATCACGCTGGACCCTTCAGTTTTCTTTTCTATCATTTCATCAATCCTTCATAATGTTCTACTTTGATGTAACTCCAACTATCCTTTACTACAATAATTTACTCATACTAAAGCAGCTCATATGTAAGAAGGTGCGCACAATAAGAGTAGAAGGAAAAGATGCCACAATTTTTTAAACACATATTTTGAAGTTTAAATACAATAAAATATTTACAGATAATGCAGGGGAAAATAAACTTTCTTCCTCCAAGGTTAAAAAAAAAATTAGGGTCCAATGCCATGGCTCAAGCAGCTAAATCCTGCACCTTGCAAGTGCCAGGATCCCATATGGTTCATGTCCTGGCTGCTCTACTTCCCATCCAGCTCCCTGTTGGTGGCCTAAGTGAGCAGTGGATGGCCCAAAGCCTTGGGACCCTGCACTTGTGTGGGAGACCTGGAAGAAGCTCCTGGCTCCTGGCTTTGGAGGTGTTTTATGGATAATCAAGAGGCCGGGGAGTTTAGTTTTGAACACATTGATTCTACGGTGTCTTTGAAATAACCAGTAGAAAACGACAAAGAAAGTTGGGTGGATGGGCCTGGATATAGAGGTCTGGTTTATCAGAATTAAATTTATGACTCAACTATGAGCACAAGGTAACTTAAGCAATGAAAATCAATAAGATTACCTCAGAAGAATACATAAAGCATATTCAGAAGAAACAAGACTGAGCCTACAGAATTCCAACTTCTACCAGTGGAGTGAATGAAGTAGGATGTGACTACTTTGACAAAGGGGGCCAACAATGCTATGTCATGGAAGAATTCGTTAACTACTATCAACTTAGCTGTGGTACCTAGAACAGTGACTCTAATGATGTCCACATTCTACTTCCTGGAATCTGTAAATGTCAGGCTACATGGAAAGGGAGAATCAAAATTAGAGAAAACTCAGATTGCTCACCATCTCACTTCAAAATAAGAGATGACATCCAGGAGTACTTGTACAGGATCAATATAATCACAGACTTATATGTGACAGAGGGAGGCAGGAGAAGAAATCAGTCACTCAGCACGTAAAGAAACCTGCTTGGGGCTAGAGCCATGGTGTGGTAGGCTAAGCCTCTACGTGTATCGCCAGCATCATCTATAGAAGCCGGTTCGAGTCCCAGCTGCTCCACTTCTGATCCCGCTCACTGCTAATGGACTAGGAAAGCAGCAGAGGATGTCCCAAGTCTTAGGGCCCCTGCACTCAGGTGGAGATCCAGAAGAAGCCCCAGGTTTCAGACTGTCCCACCTCTGGCCATAGCAGCCATTTGGGGACTGAACCAGTAGACAGAGACCTATCTCTCCTCTGTAAGTCTTCCAAATAAAGCAAATCTTAAACAGAAAAAGAAAAGGGCATCCTGATACTCATGGTTAACTTTTTAGATGGAGGAACAAGGCCATAGGTCAAGAAAGACGAGTGGCTGCTAAAAGACAGAAAGAGCCAGGAAGCAGAAGGTGTCTAAGCCTCCCAGAGAACACAGCCACTCGGCGCTCTGCATGGGCCCAGCAGGACCCAATCCAGGCTGCCAGACTACATAACTGCAAAATAATGCTTAGCTGCAGGCCACAACCTTGGCAGCTTCCACAACATACTATACCAAGAAATGGAATTACTACATATTAAGCACTTTATACACATTAATTCAATCTTTACACCAGTTCTCCAAGATACATCCAGAAATAACAAAGTCCTGTTTTATAAACCAAACACTCTGGCTCACTGGTAGACCTACTTCGTAGAGGGGCATCATTATCCCAATCATCACAGTTATTAATGACCTTCGCTGCAGCTGCTTCCAGAGGAAGAGATACAGAAATGCAGACATGGAACAACTGCTTCTGCAAAGTGGCTATACAGGGGATTAGGGGAAATGGCAGTTACTGCAATGTAAAGAAATCTGGAGATATGAGAGGGACCCAAGGGTGTTCAAAGCCACTGAAAACAACTTCAGAAGCCGGTAGCCCAAATAGAACCTTTTGCATATAATGTTAAGCAGTAATGATTAATTAATCATAATAAATGAAAGAAAGGTAAGGAGTTAATTTGCTCAACAAGGTTAATGGGATCCAAGGAAAACTAATTCTCAAGGCCAAAGCCACTTTCAGAAGACCATACTTGGGCTCTAACAAAACAATAATGATGGAGCTGGCACAATGGCTCAATTTGCTAATGCTCTACCTGCAAGCACCTACATTCCACATGGGTGCCAGTTTGTGTCCAGGCTGTTCCACTTCCCATCCAGCTCCTGGTAAATCAGTAGAGGATGGCCCAAAGCCGTGGGACCCTGCACCCATGTGGGAGACCTGGAAGAGGCTCCTGGCTTCGGACTGACTCAGCTCTGGGTATTGCAGCTACTTGGGGAGTGAACCAGAGGATGTAAGATCTTTCTTCCTCCCCATTTCTCTGTAAAAGCTGCCTTTCAAATAAAATAAATAAATCTTAAGGAAAACAAACAAAAAACCTGTTCTAAAGCAACATAATTTACTTAAAAAATAATAATTTGCTTTCCCTACAATAAATTTAAAAGCAATAAGAAAATCTGTGGCATCACAGATCTAAAAGAAGGACTAACAGAGGAAAAACTACTCAAGTGTAATACACCTACCTGATTCTGGTAATAACTCCTTCCAGGGTTTTAAACTCCGTCTTCTTGCTCTTCTGAGAACACACCATGGATCTCTGCACAGCAACAAGCTCTCCGTTGACATCCCGAAACTGCAGGCGGATTTGGGCTCTCACATCTGTTTCTTGAGCAACCTTTGAGGATAAACAGAAAACAACTACACTACCTTAATAACAACAAGAATTATGGTTCCAAAGGAAAAAGCATGAACAATCTTACTCATCCAAAAGAAGGCAATAAAACAAAACAATTACATTTAAAACCAGTAACAGTTTTGCTTAATATTCAAAATATGGGAGGAAAGTAGAGTTACTAAAATAATATATTTTCTACTTCTTTCCTCAACATCATTAAACCAAGTACATAGATTTTTTTCCAATAAATTAAGTACCATTTTCTTTAAGATGTATTTATTTTTATTAAAAAGGCAGATATACAGTGAGGAGGACAGAGAGAGAGGAAGATCTTCCATCCGCTGATTCACTCCCCAAGCAACGACCCGAGCTGAGCCAATCCGAAGCCAGGAACTTCTTTCAGGTCTCCCATGTAGTTCAAAGGTCAGAAGGCTATAGGCCATCCTCCACCTCATTCCCAGATTACAAGCAGCAAGCTAGACGGCAAGTGGAGCCACCAGGATTAGAACCAATGCCCATATGGGATCCCAACTTGTGCAAGGCAAGGACTTTAGCCGCTAGGCTACCATTCCAGCCCCCGGTTTTTTGTTGCTGATTTTGTTTAAGTTTAAAGAAATAATCACAGGGGCACAGAGAGTCCAGCATGACTGCTTAAATGGCTAATCCTCCACCTGCCAGAGCTGGCATCCCACATGGGTGCCAGTTTCTGTCTAGGCTGCTCCACTTCCCATCCAACTCCCTGATTGTGGCCTGGAAAAGCAGTCGACAACAGGCCAAAGCCTTCGGACCCTGCACCTGCACTGGGAGACCTGCAAGAAGCCCTGGCTCCTGGCTTCAGATTGGTTCAGCTCTAGCCATTGCAGTCATTTGGGGAATGAACCAGCAGATAAAAAACCTTTCTCTCCGTATTTCCTTCTCTATAAATCTGCCTTTCCAATAAAAACAAATAAATCTTAAAAAAAAAAAAAAAGCAAGCATCCATAAGAGAAACAGAGAAATACTGCAGTAAACTTAAATCCCCACCACCAACACCAGAACTACCTCAAAGTTGCTGATCTGATATCCATCCTATCACCAATATTTCCTATAAGACAAAAGCACCATGACCCATAAAAATCAGAAAATCGATACTGATACAGTATTACCACAGGATCCAGAGTCCATGCTAATTTTGAACTGTTCCACTAGGTCCTTTAAAGCAAAAGAATCCAACTATTCCACTAGGTCAAAAGAATCCAGTTCAGGATTATACACTACATTTGGTGGTCAGCTCTCTAGAGGTTTTTTTTTTTTTTTTTTTTTTACAACAATTGCTCAATTCTGCTTCATTTTCATGTTTAATAATTTTGAAAATTACAAACCACTAGTCTGAAGTGTATCTTCTAAAATCTGGTTTTGGTATTTCCTAATGCCTAGTCTACTAAAACTGCATGCAATGAAATGAGTTTCTCCGTTCCATTTCACTGGAGTGGATCCAATTTTCAATTTATCTCATCACTGGAGGTAGCAGCTTGACAACCCCTTGATAAACATTTCTCTGCCAGGTTCTTTACCAGTAATTATTTTTTGCTTCAAAAATTGGAAGTTTTGGGGGGAAGAGACACACTGAGACCATGTGAACAGCCCACACTTCATCATACTAATCTGTGCTTATTTTATCAATCACTGCTGAATTATAACCACCAGATAATTTTCCTGTTTCAATATTCCTTCTATGCTTACTGGCCAGGAGTCTCCTTTAAGACAGGGCTTTGGCCTTTCCCCGTTTTCTTTTCCTTCACTGTGTCACATCAGTATGAACTCATGGTTTCTTTCCTTAGCAGGAAAGCAGACTGGATGGAGAAGGACTGCAACGTACACACTCCAACTTGCCCTGCAGAAGCCCAAGCCTCAGGTTGGACCACTGCCCCACAGCACCCACATGAAGCTCCAGCTTTCTTTGTTCTTAGCTGACACAGTACATTTTTTCCTATCCTTTTACTTTAACCTATCTGTATCATTATATCCAAAAAACACTGGGGCCAGCATTGTGTCACAGACGCCAGCATCCCACGAGCACCAGGTCATATCCCAGCTTCTTGTCAAGACAGCAGAAGACGGCCAAGTGCTCAGGCCTCTGCTACTCACAGGGGAGACCGAGAAGGAGCTCCTGCCTCGGCCGGCATCAACCCCGACAGCTGCCTCTGAGGGAGGGAACCAGCGGAAGAAGAACCCCGTCTTTCCTAACTTTCAAACAACTCATAGATCTTCAGAAGATAAAAGTTATTCCTTTTGTTTTATTCTTTTTGTTACACTCTTCCATTTCCCTCTCCACATTTTCCTGTGTATCTAGGAGTATATTTGTAACATTTACACTGATATTTTAAGCTTTTTGTATGCCAATCCTGTTACCTTTCACTTTTGGATATGTTGATATGCTTGATTTTTCTGACTATAGGCCTTCCACACTTCTCTGCATCCTGGTTAACTTCTTATTAGAATTTCAAATCACTGTCAAAGTTTTTATTCCTTTAAGGAATGCTGAACTTCATTCTGGCATGCTATTGTACTTTTCATAAGCAACAGACAATTTCTGAGGCTTTACGTTTAAGGTTTGTCAGCGAAGGGTCTACAGCAACATACTCCAGTGTCATTTCCAGTCACACAGACTTTCTTTAGTGAGTACTGAAGCATAAATTTGTTTAAAAAAACAAAGATTTATTAGGCACCTGGCACAACGGCTAAATACTCAACCTTGCAAAGTGCCAGGATCCCATATGGGGTTCCAGCAGCTCCTCTTACCCAGCTCCCTGCTTAAGGCCTGGGAAAGTAGTAAAGGATGGCCCAAAGCTTGGGACTCTGCATGTGTATAGGAGACCTGAAAGAAGTTCCTGGTTCCTGGTTTTGGGTGGACTCAGCTCCAGCCATTGCAGCCACTTGAGGAGTGAGCCAGAGGATGGAACATCTTTTGTCTCTCCTCTCTGTAAATCTAACCTGCTTTTCCATACACAGAAAGATAAAGATCATCCCAAGTTCTTGAGCCAATTTCTTTGTTTTCCTAGGCTACAAGCAGGGAGCTGAATTGGAACTGGAGCAGCTACAGCATGAACTGGGACATGAACTGCTGCCCATATGAGATGCTGGAACTGCAAAGGCCACAGTACCAGTTCCTTATGATAAAATATTTATCTGAAAAAGCTCTCCATTTCATCTTCAATTTTTTAAATTTATTTTTATTAGAAAGTCAGATTTACAAAGAGAAGCAGAGAAAGAGCTTCTGTCCAATAATTTACTCCCCCAAGTGGCCACAACAGCTGGAGCTCAGCCAATCTGAAGCCAGGAGCCAAGAGCTTCCTCCAGGTCTCCCATGCACGGGTGCGGGGTCCCAAGGCTTTGGGTCATCCTCTGCTGCTTTCCCAGGCCACAAGCAAGGAGCCGGATGAGAAGTGAAGCACCTGGGATATTAACTGGCACTCATATGGGATCCTGGCGCATACAAGTCAAAGCCTTTCGCTACCAGGCTACCACACTGGGCCCTCACCTTTGATTTCTGAAGGATATTTTTGCTGGATGCACAAATTTAAGTATTAATTCCTAGCATTTTAATCAACAGTAATTAAACCAAAGAGCCATGTAATTAAACTATGTTATCTATGCAGCAGAAAAGTTTACTAAAATGTTCATGAAGTCCTAACAGACCAAATACACATATATTAATGCAAAAAGCATTCACTATTCTAGAAAGATTAAACATTTGGCAAATAGCAATTAGTTCACAGAATTCAAAGGGTATCATGCAGCATTTTACCACAATACTGCAGCTGCCATTTTATTGAGGAAGTATCACCTAAAAAGAACTGTTTTTTTTTTTTCAAAAATAGTTATTTAGACTGAGTTGATCTGCTAAAGCAAATTTTATTATATTTCAGAACTATTTCTAACCAAATTAAGAATAATGAAAAACAAACAAACCAAAAACACCACACGTTTCTTTGCAAACTATCTAGTCCCAGGACCAACGGGGCAGAAGACTGAAGGTGTCCGAGCTTCCTGGACGTGGGGAGACAGCTCAGCCTAGACTGGGCCCGCTGAGCCTGAGCAAGCTGAGATTGTGCAGCCTGGGCATGGCCCAGGGCTTCAAGAGCCCCGAGTATGGGATGCAGGGCAGCAGTTCTGAACAGGACCTCCAGGAGGGCAGCACTCCCCCTGGAGGGGACAGTGTGGGATTCAGATCAGAGAGCACAGCGTCCGTTAAGAGGTCAGCTGTGAGAGTGCCAGTTCAAGTCGTGGCTGCTCCACTTGCAATCCAGTTTCTTGCTAATGTACCTGGGAAGGAAGCAGGGGATGGCGCAAGTGCTTGGGTCCCTGCCACCGACACGGAGTTCCAGGCTCCTAGCTTCAGCCTGGCCCAGAGCTGCCCATTGTGGTCATTTAGGGAGTGAACCACTGGACAGAAGGTATCTTTTTCGTTACTCTTTCAAATAAATCTTAAAAATTAAAAATAAAGAGGGGTTAGTGTTGTATCTCAACAAGCTAAACCCCTGCTGGCAACACTAGCATCACATGTGTGCCCTGGTTCAAGTCCTGGCTGCTCCACTTCAGATCTAGCTCCATGTTATTGTGACTGAGAAAGCAGTGGACTATGGCCCAACTATTTGGGCCTCTGCCACATGTGGGCTACCCAAATGGATACCTGGGCTCCAGGCTTTGGATTGGCCCAGCTATAATCATTGCGGCCACTTGGGAATGAATAAGCAAACGGAAGAACAATCTCTCTTGTAACTACAACTTTCAAACAAGTAAATCATTAAAAACAAACATAAGAAGAGGGGAGGGGTTGGTGCTGGTGTTGTGACGTAGGTTTAAGCTCCAGCCTACAATGTCAGTATCCCATATGGGTGCTGCTTCAAACCCCAGCTGTTCCACTCCCAATCCAGTTCCCTGTTAATGTTCCTGGGAAGACAACAGAAGACGGCCCCCACACTTACTCCCCGTCACCCATGTGGAAGATCTGTACAGAG